CTCGAATCCATGTCTTGTTGTTCTGTCTGGAGATCCGCACAGAGGGTAGCTTCTGAGATTGTCCCCCTTTGGCGGAGTAGCGCCTTGGAGGGCTTTCACTCTGGCCCGAGTCCTTGTAGCACGATGTTGATGAAGATTTCCTCCAAAAAAGCATTTCCATGCTTTGTGATTTGATCACGGATGTTCCGACAGCGATTAATGTATTAATTGTCTTTCTCCCACCTTCGCCTCCATGAGTTGCTGCAGGAGCCTGCTGGAGGTGACTGAGTCCTTCGGCTAATAAACCTCGACGAGGTGCTTCCAGGCTTCCAGAGCCGGAGCTGCGCTCTCTTTGTAGGAGCGAATGCCGAGTTGCTCCACGGGCGTCATATTCTTAGCAGCACACCGTACGCCATAAGAGACTCACTATAGTATTCAGCTTGGGCGTCTTCGGTGTCTTCCACCGGTTTAAGATAGGAGCCATCAAAGTAGTGGTAGATCTGCGCTGTCTGTAGGAGGAGCTTTAACTCAAAACTCTATGTGTAAATATCCTTGCCATTGAACGCGGTATTTGTCTTGATCTTGGAGACGCTAAGAAATCGTGCTTGCGCAGAGTTGATAACTTCATCACTTGGACAGGGGGCTGACGGTGTTGATCTATCTGTGTCGAGAGAGAAGGTGTGCGGGGTGGGTTCGTGGTTGTTTGTGGCCGGCTGAGCAGGTTAAGCTGGTTGCGATGAGGTTCCCGCGTCGCCTTTCCGCAATGCTTGGAGATCTTTCTCCATAGTTGACAATCGTTGAAAGAGCTGCTCGAGTGCGACGGTGCTGATCGTAGTTGTCGCCTCATTTGTCGCAGCTGGGTTGGCCTGTCTTTCAGCGGTTAGATTCGTTTGGCCTTCGGATCCTCCGGCCATCTTGGTCTTGGAGCGTGTGCCGCTCATCAGCTCTTGGTTCGGCGAAATTTACGGAAGTATAGTTGCGAAGAATCCCTGAGTTGCTCGCATACCATGTTACAATCTTGAAGAGGACTCAGCCATGGATCGAATCAGGGTTGATCGCAGGTAGAATTGCAGCGGATGTGTTGACCTCAGGTCAGAGTGAATGTAAATGACCGAGATAATAAAAACATGCATACATTGAGTTTATTCAGGAAATACGAAGGAATGCAAAACGACATAGACTAGCCATGTGCTCTAAGGGGTACATTCTCTTATTACTGTGAGGTTTATACCTTGCGGCGCGGGAATCCGTTCAAACATGTTCCCACTCTTTTCACTTCGAATGTTTCTGCCTGCATCGGTCTTGATCTGGCAATTGCTGGTGTCGCTTCGACTCTTTTGACTCCTCGCCTTTGTACTCGGTTAGAGTCGGCTCCTGCATCGTACAAGAATGCCTTCTCATTAAGTTTCATATCGCAAGAATACCATCTTAAAGATTGAACATCCCAACAGGGGGATATCGTACAAGTCAAGTGTCGAGAAAAAGATATACCCCCTACTATGAACCTCACTGTATGCTAGAATCTTAACAACATTTGACAAGGTTGTTGACCGTGATGCTTGTTGTGCCAATGCGAAACTGTAGAATCTCAAAGATGACTGATTGAACTTGATAGGCCTGACTTCCTTGCGATGTTTTCGAGAAGCCTTGGGACTTGCTTAGCTTGAAAGGTGTTTGCAACAGTGAGCTGGACCCAAGTAGCCGAGGATAAAATGTCGCGTAGTAAAAATGAAATATATCCACTGCTTCTTAATTAACTCAGGATGTCAGATCTATGCTCATAGTTACCAACTGGTTGTAACCTTTATATAACAGGCTCTCAAAGTTACGCGGAGGAATCCATGGCGGCTTTGAAGTCATTGTCATTGTCATGATAGTGGATGAATCCCTAGACGAGTACAAAACACTGTATTGAAAGGTTGCTGTGCTACCCAAAAGTATTGAATAAGGCCAAACAATAATCACACTTCGTTAGTAGCCTCCAAACGAGGAATCTGGGCTTGTGTCTATCTTCTGGTCGTGTTTCCCGAACCTCTATTTTCTAGCCTTCCGAACCAATATTAGGCTTCCCAGCCTCCAGATCCTCGGAGTTCGTTGCTACCGGGATTCGCCTCAATCCGTTCGAAGGTTATTAATTAGGAAAAAAATGAGAGAGATTATGTAAGGTGGTGGGTTCGTGGTGTCTGTTGCGCAAACAACAGGCAGACCAGCAAGCCAGCAGAGGATAGGAGCCAGGAGCGAGTGTCAGAAGCCACCCATGGTTCGTGGGCATTGTCGCGCAAGAATATTGAGCAGCGAACCTGGCGACCTTGCAAGCTTGCAAATGGCATCGAGCGTCAAGGGATGGGGTAGCGATGCTCGGGCGAAGGGATAAGCTTGTCAGAATGTTATTGTTCTCTAGCCTGCAGTGGGGTACTCTATAGCGAGTACAACCCCTTAGGGTTTCCTATATGTATCCTGCTGCTTTCTAGTGAACACCCTCTCTTTTGCCTAAACTTCTCTTGCCTAGCTAGGACTTACCTAGCTATGGCTCCTAACTCTACCTACTATCTTCACATGCTATCAGAGCATCTACGCTCCTGGCCTGTGGGCCCACCTAACTGCTTCCACTGCTACTCTGTGTGTTGCACGCCCCGTGGCGTGCGACGGATTTCTCTTCCCGCCGCGTGCTCGGAGCGTGCGGCGGTTTTCTGCCCGCCGTGCGCCCCGAGGCGCGCGGCGGTTTTCTGCCCGCCGTGCGCCCCGGGGCGTGCGGCGGTTCTCTGCCCGCCGTGCGCCCCGAGGCGCGCGGCGGCCTTCTGCCCCGTCGGTCCGCGCGTCGCCCCCGGGGGGCGCTTCGACGGGCGACGGGGACCAGCCCGTCGTCCCCCGTCGCCCGTCCTGGCCAGCGCGGGCTGCGCTAGCCCCGAGCGCGGCCCGTACGGGCTGCGCCCGGCCCGCGCGCGGCCCGTACGGGCTGCGCCAGGCCCGCGCGCGGCCCGTACGGGCTGCGCCAGGCCCGCGCGCGGCTCGGGCCGCCTGCGCGCGGTTCGTCGGGCTATGCCAGGCCCGTGGGCGGCCCGTTCCTCTCTGTCCCTGAGCTGTTCGCTGTCCCCCGTGCTTCTGACGGTGCCCCACCCCTGCTGCTGCCCGTTCTCCTGAATTAGGGTTTGGGGGTGAGGAGTGTGGGGGTGGCGGTTGTGTGTTACTCCCCTTGCTCCTCCTCCTCCCTGGTCTCCCACTGCTGCAGCTGCCGCTGAGGGGGGTGGGTGTGTGGGAGCCTAGGGTTTAGGGTTTAAGGGGGGTGCCGTGGGAGTGGAGCTAGGGTTCAGCAGGGGGTTTGTGTCGAGGGTGTGGGGCAGTTGGAGGAGGTTGTGTGAACGTAGCTGTCGTGTCGCCTGCAGCGCCTGTAGTCCGTCGCCCTTGCTTCGGTAGCCAGTGAGCCTGTTGCACCAGTCGCCAGTGGGTCCGTTGCTCCTGCCGCTCGTCTTAGCCGCGGAGCCAGTCACTCCAGTAGTCCGTCGCCCTTGCTTCGGTAGCCACTGAGTCAGCCGCTCCTGTGCCCATGCCTCTGCAGCTTCAGTCGTTGCCTCGCATCTTCTCTCCCTCCACAGTTCCTCCTCCTCCTCACTTGCCCGCTGTGATTAACTCTAGCTTTGCTTACTATTGTGAACTCCTGCTATACCTGCTCTAGGACTACTTGCTCTGCTGATTATACCCCACTTTGACTATGGGGGTGTGTCAGAATGTTATTGTTCTCTAGCCTGCAGTGGGGTACTCTATAGCGAGTACAACCCCTTAGGGTTTCCTATATGTATCCTGCTGCTTTCTAGTGAACACCCTCTCTTTTGCCTAAACTTCTCTTGCCTAGCTAGGACTTACCTAGCTATGGCTCCTAACTCTACCTACTATCTTCACAAAGCTCCCGATCACGAGCCATGCATTCTGTTTAGTATGGCGTGGCGCAGTGGATATGTGGTTAGAAAAGCAACGTTGCAGCAGATGAGCTACGCTGTGGTTCCGCGCTTCGATGTTTCTTCTCGGTTTCTCGGACAATGTTCAATGGTGCAAATCGCCTCCTTGCGATGCGTCATGGAGCGCGTTTCAGTGTGAACGGCGCGATTGCAAAGCGGAATGGCTCACTCCTGAGCGCGCCAATGCTCCGCTCCGCGCCCCACGCTCGCTGGGCCTCCCGAGGTAGTAGCTCACGAGCCACGTTCTTCCTCCCAGCATATAATGGGCCGCCGAGGAACAACCCAACAAATCATCCCTCAGAAGGAGCCCACTCCTCTCTCGTTCCGCGTGAACTCTTAGTCGTCCTCTCCTCGTCGCTCGTCGCTCGTCGCAGGCATCATCTCAGCTCTCCTCGTCGCTCGTCGCAGGCATCCTGAAACAAGCTCAATGGCTCTTGGGCTTGTTCTAGTGTTTCTGGCTGAGAATTTCACCAAAGGATTTTCCTTGGAAGCAAAGGAACAACCAAGAGAAAGAGAAACAGCAAAGCTACTCCCTAATTCCTACGAATGCAATTTATCTATGTACAGTACATACATTTCAGAAATGCTGCTCGGAATGTCGATTCGGGTGGCCAGCCCTGACATCGAGTCGCATCACCCCTTTTCCACATTTGTAACTCACTGCTATCATACACGTGTCCTGATTCTAACCTTCTGATACTGTACCCTCGCCACCTGTCCCACGCGGAAGTCTTCCCAAGTCAGTCAAGGCACGAAACCTGAGTTTCGCCCTCTTCACGTGGGTCCCCCACGTCCTGCACACTTCCGCCCCCTTGCTGCCCACGTTCGCAGCTGCACGCTGCTGCTGCATACTTTCACCTCCCGTGCGCTTCACGCTGCCTCCAGAGCAGACCCCACTTGTTACACATCCTCACTTCCTTCCTCTGCCTCCTCGTCGGGCGCCCCGTGGGCTCACGGAGGGTCTCTTTCTGCTCCGTGATCCGATCGCCACTTTCGGACCTATATACTACCAATTTTTCTCACGGCGGACTCGCTTTCGCGGACTTGCTTTCTGACCGCACCGCTTCAATGGCGGCTGTCAAGTGGAGCCCCATCTGCCTGCTGCTGTTGCTCTTGCAGGTAAGCAGCGTGCTGGCAGCGAGCAGTGCAAGTCGATTCGTCCTGCATGCTCGCTCACAACCGCGTCAGTCATGACCCCGTGGCTCCCCGCGCCGTCACATGTGCTGTGCGGTGCTGTGCTGTGCTGGCAGGCTCGCTGAACACTCCGTGGACGGCCATCCGCACTGCTGCTCTTGCGGTAAGCTCCATCTCTCGCCGCGGCCCTTTCAATTCCAACCCTCCTACCTCTCTGCCAAGCAATGCACCACCCGTGTTAAAACTAATGCTGCGCCACCCGCACTGATCCCAATGCCGTGCTGCGCGCTGATCCCAATGCGGCCCGCGCGCTGATCCCAATGCGGCCCGCGCGCTGATCCCAATGCGGCCCGCGCGCTGATCCCAATGCGGCCTGTGCGGTGATCCCAATGCGCCACGCGCGCTGATCGGGCGGGCGAGCTCCCTTCTGCAGCTTCTCGGCAATCATGTGCCCTTTTCACTCTCCTCCCCATTCCCTCCCCTCCCCCCAACCCCCCTCCGTGTGGCAGGACGCTAAGATGGTGTTGGTGCGGTGGAGGTACACGCGTGGACTTCTGAGTTGACTCAAAATTCAAGTCCCCATCCTCTCTCACCCCCCTCCCCCTCCCCCCCCTGTGTGTGGCAGGACGCCAAGACAGTGCTGGTCGGGTGGATGTACTCGGATTGACTTTTGAGTTGACTCAGTAGTCAAGTCCCCATCCATCTCCCTCCCTGCCCCCCTTCCTCCCCCTGTGTGTGGCAGGACACCAAGACGGTGCTGGTGGGATGGAGGTACACGCGGTGGCATCCCAGGGTGAAGTCGTGGCCGGCCCCACGCATCCATGAGGGCGACACTGTTGGTTAGTTGCTGCTTCCCTTTGCTGACCCTGGTACTTATTCTCTCTCTCTTGCTCTCCCCCCCGCACACACTCTTTCTTATGCCCTTCCCCCCCCCACACGCACTATATCTCGCTCACCCCCACAGACAATCTTTATCTCGCTCACCCCCACAGACAAATCTTTATCTCGCTCTCCCTCACACACATACTCGCTCTATCACTCATATGCACTTGCTCTCTTGCCCTCGCACCACTCTCTCTCTCTCTCTCTCTCTCTCTCTCTCTCTCTCTCTCTCTCTCTCTCTCTATCACCTTCCCTTCGCGCTCTCGCACTCTTCCCAGCCCACCCTCACTCTCACTCTCTCCCCGCTCCACCATGACTCACTTTCTCGCCCTCTCCACTCTTACTGTCGAGCTCTCTTGCTCTCTTGCCCTCCCCACTCTCACACTATCGCCACTCGCTTCTTTGCCCCCAAACCTGTGTTGAATGGCAGTGTTCAAGTGGAACAACTGGATGCACAGGCACAGCGTGGTGGCCATTGGTGACTTGAGTTTTGAGTTGATGCAAAATCCCCACTTGCGTTCTTGCCATCGTTCGTGTGTACAACAGTGTTCAAGTGGAACGATTGGATGCACAAGCACAACGTGGTGGCCATTGGCTCCACGCGCTACACCTCGTGCTACTTCGGGAACAACGGCGCGCCCTTCTCTGTGCTTGCCAAGGCGGGGAAGCAGGACACTGTCAAGCTCTCGGCCAAGTCAAGCAATAATAAATACACGGGGTACTTTGCCAGCAGTGTTGGCAACGACTGCCGCAATGGCATGAGAATTGCCTTGATTATTGAATGTGATGGCGTATGTTGATGGATGTACGGAACTAGTTTGTGTATGGTACTGGCATATTTGTTGATGAAGGGAAGTCAAATCATTGGAGAGATGTGATGACATTGTAATGCATCTTTGGTGCGGACAGAGTGTGGTGGCAGCTTGACTGCATGCAACCCTGCATGTACCGTACCACCCCACTGAATGTGGAGGAGAAATGACGTACGGGGCAAGCATGGGATGGCTGATGATGAAGGTTCTCTAATGGTTGATGTGAAATGAAGAACGAGAAATGTGTGAACTATGAATGAAGTGAGTACATATAGGAAACCCTAATTGGGTTGTACCCCCTATGGGATACCCCACTATAGCCTACACAACAGCATAAGCTATACAATATTCTGACACACCCCCATAGGCAAAGTGGGGGAGAACAAGGGGTCACAAGACCAGTCAAGCAAAGTAGAGCAAGCTCAGGGTGGATCACAAAGTCACCACACAGTCCGAGCACAACAACAAGGCCACAGGGCCAGTTCACATGCAGGAGTACACATATATATATAGAGGTAGACAAGCAAGAGCAGGTATATATATGCGACAGTACAAGCAAGGTCAAGAAGAGAGCAAGTGAGGCAAGACAGGTACAAGACCCAGCTGGGTGCAGAAGCGCTGATGGTCACAAGGCGCAAGTGCCTTGGTGAACACATCAGCAGTGTTGGCCTCAGAGGCCACGTACGCAAGTCGCAACTGACCACGCTGCTGCAGCTCACGAGCAAGAAAGTAACGGAGAGCAATGTGCTTCGTTCTGTGCTCCAAGCGCTGCTCTCGACACAAGGCCAGCATGGCCTTGTTGTCTACGTACAGCACTGGAGGAGAACGAGGAGGCTCTCCAAGGTCAGTCAGCAGGTAGGTGAGCCAGCGAAGCTCCTGTGCAGCCATGGCCCCGGCGTAAATCTCAGCCTCACAACTGGAGCTGAGAACAGAGGACGAGCGAGTAGCCCGCCACGAGACAGAGCCGGAACCAAGACTGAAGGTGTAACCCTGCGACGACCGCTGCGTAGCCTGGTCGTCAGCCCAAGAAGCGTCCGCGTGCCCAGTGAGGACCACTGGACTCCGCCCTCCAAGCACTAGCCCCATGCCCGACGTACTGCACAAGTAGCGCAACACCCTCTTCGCTGCAGCCATGTGCTCTGGTCGGTGTCTCCCAGGAGCAACATAGCGTGCAAGAATGCTAAGAGGGTATGCAAGGTCAGGTCGTGTGCAGGTCATCAGGTACATGAGGCAGCCAACAAGCTCTGGGTACGGGCCACTCGACTCTACGGACTCATCCGAAGGCAGAGCTGAGAGCGAGTGGCGAGTAGACAGAGGAGTGGCCTGAGGCGAGGAGTACGTGAAGCCGAAGCGCTGAAGGACCTGCTGCACCATGTGTGACTGAGTCAAGGTAATGGTGCGGCGTGCTCTGTCCCGAGTGATCTGCAAGCCAAGGTAGCTGCGCAGTTCACCCAGGTCTGTGCACGTGTGTCTCTTCTGCAGCTCGGACTTCACGTAGGCTAGTCCAGCAGTGTCAGCTGTGGCAAAGACCAAGTCGTCGACGTACACGAGGACGTAGAACGGCGGCAAAGAAGTGTCGGTGCGCAGAAACAACGACGGGTCAGCAGTAGAGGGAGCAAACCCAAGAGCCGCAAGCGTAGTCCTCAGTGTGTCGTGCCACTCACGCGGTGCCTGGCGGAGACCGTAGACTGGCCGTCGGAGGCTCCACTGGGTGCCAGGAGGGAAAGTCCCAGTGAAGCCAGGTGGACGGCGCAGCCAGATCTCCTCGTGCAGGCTACCCTGCAAGAAAGCAGTGCTGAAGTCAAGAGAGTGGAGCTCGTAGTCGCGCTGAGCGGCTATGTGCAGCAGCACCCGAAGAGTGGTCATCTTCGGGGTGGGAGAGAAGGTCTGAAAGTAGTCAACTCCCTGCCGCTGACTGAAGCCACGAGCGACGTACCGCGCCTTGAAGACAGGTGGAGAGCCCGGCGGCCGCTTCACCCTGAAGATCCACATGCCACTGACGATGTTCGCCCCAGGAGGGGGAACCGCGTCAACGTAGGTGCCTGTGGACTTCCAGGACGCCATCTCTGCATCCATAGCTGCCTGCCACTGAGAGGAGTAGGGACCCTCTACGGCCTCCGCGTAAGAGCGCGGAGTCGGGATGTCTAGTGCATCCGGGTCTCCCTCAGGGGCAAGTAGTACGGACGCGAGATGAGGTGAAGCAGCAGCCAGACACTGGAACTCCTCCTGCCTGTCCTCAAGGACGTCCGTGCCAAGAGCACACTCACCCCCGACGGACGGAGGACAGACAGACGCAGACTCAGCAACAAGACCGGCAGCGTAGTCTAGACGACAGCGAGCAGCAAAGTCGACGAGCTCAGCAACAAGCGCAGACGCAGCAGTGGACTCAAAAGAGGGGTCAGTGACAACAGTAGCAAGGAGACGCGTGACAGTCGGACTGGCAGCACGAAGAGAGTCCGACTCCGGGTCGGCAAGAGCAGGAAGAGAGGACTCAGGAGGAGAAGGCAAAGGGGCACGCAGAGGAGCAGTGGACGGACGCAGAGACATCCGGTGCGTGCCAGGGACAGGAGGAGGACGCTGACGCGAACCACGACCACTAGTGCGAGCAGCACGGACAGGCGACGCAGGGCGAGACGCAGGCTCACGACGCTCAGCAAGACCTCCAGTAGGACCAGTGTAGGGAGAAGGAGCGGGCAGTGGGGAGGCGGGCTGTAACTGTAACTGTGACGAGACAGGCTGTGGACACTCTAAGGGAGGAGGAGGACCAGTAGAAGGCGGGAGACCAAGAACCTGCTGAAGGAGCGGAACGAAGTACGGCCTAGGCCGCGCGACGACTCCAGACACAGCAGGGACAGCACCAGTACCCCCAGCGGCAGCACCAGCGCCAGTAGCACCTCCAGCTCCAGTACCTCCAGCAGCACCAGTAGCACCCCCAGCAGGACCGCCTCCAGGACCGACAGCAGTGGCCTCAGCGCCAACACCCTCAGCAGCTCCAGCTCCAGTCGTACCCGCAGGCCCAGCAGCTCCAGTACTCCCAGTACGAGCACCTCCGGGACCCGCGGCACCAGCACCCTCAGCAGCCGAAGAACCTCCAGCTCCAGTAGCACGCCTCCAGCGCCGGGCAAACCACTCGCGCAGCTCCTGTGGAGAGAGGGGCTCCCGCCGAGGCGAAGCACCCGGAGAACCGCCAGGTCCCGCACCGCCAGACGCCACAAGGGGAGGTCCAGTGGCCGCAGGCTCCGCAGCTCCAGGCTCAGCAGCTCCAGACGCAGCACCCCCTGGCTCAGCACCCCCAGTCGCAGCACCCCCAGGCTCAGCACTCCCAGACTCCGCACCCCCACGCTCAGCACCCTCAGTCGCAGTACCCCCAGGCTCAGCACCCCCAGACTCAGCACCCCCAGGCTCAGCACCCCCAGACTCAGCACCCCCAGACTCAGCACCCGCAGCAGGACCAGAGTCACCAGCAACCTCGACCGGCTCGACTGCGTCTACCTGGGACACACCTGAAGGGGCAGGACCCTGAGGGGGGAGGGGGTCTACCGGGGGGGGACCTGGCACAAGGAAGTGCGGTGGGGGGGGGAGGGAAGGAGTGCGGTAGGGGAAGAGGCGGTAGAAGGGGACTGACTCGTCGAACGTGACGTCCTGGGAGGACAGAACACGACGAGAGGAGGGGTGGTAGAACTGCCACCCTGGTGCGTCAGGGGGGAAGCCGAGGAAGACACAGGGAGCAGCACGAGGGGACAGCTTGTCCGCAGACAAGTCGCGGACAAACGCCCGAGATCCCCAGACACGGAACGCAGACGCATCGCCGACCTTCCCCGTCCACAGCAGAGCTGGGGAGGTCTCCGGCCGGGAGACCCTGGGGTGAAGGTTGATCTGATGCGCCGCGTACCGAACCGCAAACGGCCACAGAAAATGGGGGGCAGCCGCATGCATCATGGACGTACGAGCGACATCCATGACCATGCCAATGCGGCGCTCAGCAATCCCATTTTGCTGTGGAGAGTCCGGAAGCGTAAAGGTCTGGCGGATGCCTCGTGCACGACAGTAGGCTCGCAGAAGGCCAGAGGAGAACTCTCCACCTCGGTCAGAGTGCAGACGCAGAACAGGAAAGTCCGAGCCGAAGCTCCTCCTGAGCTGGAGACGAGCTGCGCGGATCCAGTCGATCAACACCTCAGTGACATCACCCTTGCTGCGCAAGGGGAAGACTGTGGTGTAACGCGAGTAGTCGTCAACCACCAGCAGGAAGTAGCGCTCGTGACCCTGCCCACGGACGCGGGCTGGGCCCCACACGTCCATGTGAAGTGTCTGCAGAGGAGCCTCTGTCGGGGGAAACTGGGAGGAGTGAGGGGCAGCCCGGAGCCGTCCCTCGACACAGGGGACACAAGAGGGTCCGGGTCCCGAAGGAAGGGGAGGGAGAGACCGGGGAAGACCAGACACAAGGACACGGGAAGCCATGCCCCGAAGACGAAGCAAGGAGGGGTGGCCAAGACGGTGGTGCCACAGGAGAGTCTCGTGAGACAAGCGGCGACACGAGCAGGGGGCAGACTCAGGACCAGACCTGGACGCAGCAGCAAACACCTGACCCGACGCAGCTACCTGGCCAGACGCAGGGACAGGAGGAGACGCAGTGGTCAGTGTGTAGAGACTCGACCCCGGCCGACGCGAGAACATGGCCAGGTGTCGGCCTGTGCGGGCGTCCGAGCAGTGGGTCACCCGCTGACTCGCAGGAGTAAACTGGTGAACCCCCGCATCCTGGAGGTCAGCACCACTCACCAAGTTCGTCGAGAACGAGGGGAGGTACAGACCAGACAAGGTGCCCGAGGGGGCAGCCGGACACGGGAGGACAGTGGAGAAGTGAGAGAGGACTGGACCCCCAGTGGGGTCAGCCAGGGAGACTGCAACCGGCCGGCCAAGCGGCGTGAGTGTGGTGCGGTCTCGAAAGAAGGAGCGAGAAGCCCCTGAGTCAAGCGTGAAGGTGAGGGAGGCCGAAGCCGACGCAGTACCTGAGAGCGCAGCCTCACCAGTACCTGAGAGTGCAGACGCACTGGCACCTAGAGCAGCAGCCTCAGAAGTACCTAGCGCAGCAGTACCAATGCCCGGGTCGGGCGGGAAACACCGGTAACAGTCACCCTCCTCACTAATAGTCACAGCATACATGGCAGCAAGGATAGCATCAAAGTCAAGATCAAAGATAGCTACGCCAGCCCTAGACAGCTCTCCCCAACGGGGAATCTCACTGGCCTCGGGGAACTGCTGACGCCAAGCGTCCGTCAGGCGGCCAAAGCAGCGCTGAGTGGGGTGCGCACCCCCACACTGCTCACCCGCGCGGTCACCGGAACGAAGGACGTAGGTGCACGGACCAAAACCCCCACCCCGCTGACGCTGCGTGTACCACTCACGGAGCTGCTGGGGCTGGGGGATGTCCCGCGAACGCTGCTGCTGCTGCTGCTGCTGCTGACGCTGGCCACCACCAGGGCCGCTACGCTGCGGGGCACCACCCCGACCAGCTCCACCCCCTCCGCCACCGCTGCCTCCACCTCCACCACCACCGCTGCCTCCGCTCCCACCGCTGCCGCCACCACCGCCTCCTCCTCCGCTGCTGCCACCGCCACCACCGCCCCCGCCACCACTCCCACCGCCACCCCCACTCCCTCCTCCGCCTCCACCGCCTCCTCCACCGCCCCCGCCAGCTCCACCCGCGCCCTTGCCCCCCTTGCCCCTGCCAGGGCGGCGTCTCCCGCTAGGGGCAGACGCCGCGCAGACCGACTCAAGACCAAGCAGGTCGGCAGCAGCAGCAGAGGCAACAGAGGGCAGCAGGGGGGAAGGAGAGCACCCCTCAAAGATGGGGGTGCGAGGGTCACCACGAGAGGCTCCTACAGCGACGATGCTCTTCTCCGCCGCCAGGAGGGACTTCTCGAGGAGGTCGACAGTGAGAGTGGTGGGACAGACCGAGAGGTAGTGGTCCCTGACTACGCGAAGGGAGTCAGGGAGGCGTGTGACTATGTAATAGAGAGTGATGTACATGGGGGGGGGGTTCTTGGCGCAGAACTCAGCAGGAAGGGCGGCGCGGTAGCGAGTGTCACTAGTGCGGAGGTGCGTAATGAGGTCAGCAACAGTGGGAAAGGCAGTAAGGTCAGGAAAGAGGTACGGTAGCATGAGGCGGCTCAGGGCAGCAGTGGCAGGGGAAGAGTAGCGCGCAACTACAGCGTCGTACAAGGTCTGAGCACTCTTGTACTGACTAAAGTGCGCGCGCTCAGTGGTAGGCAGGTGGCGACGCACAGCAAGACGTGCAGCAGCATCGCGGGTGGCCCACTGAGAGCGAACAGTGGGGTCAGCATCAGTAGCAGGGGCAGGAGAGGCGCCAGAGGTGAGGTCAAAGAGGGAAAGACCGTCCGCCCTATCGCACTGTAAGAACAGCTGCAGGTCGTCGACCCAGACCTCAAAGTCAATGGCTCGACCCTCAGCGTCAAAAGCGAGGACACTAGGGGTAGCCATGACGACGACAGACGAGCAGTGCAAGCAGTAGGGGAAGGGCACGCAGTGACAGTGGGGCTGTGCTCACCGGACAGGGCAGGTCGGGCGGCTCGGCAGTAGGGCGGCTCGGCTGCTCAGCGGCTCGGCGGCAGGGCGGCTCGGCTGCTGGGCGGCTCGGCTGTTGGGCGGCTCGGCGGCAGTGCGGCTCGGCTCCCGGGCGGCTCGGCGGCAGGGCGGCTCGGCTCCCGGGCGGCTCGGCGGCAGGGCGGCTCGGCTCCCGGGCGGCTCGGCGGCAGGGCGGCTCGGCTCCCGGCGGTTCTGCTGCTAGGCGGCTCCCGCAGGTAGGGCGGCGGTAGGGCCGCAGGTAGGGCGGCGGGCGGGCCGTAGGTTGGGCAGCGGGCTGGCCGCAGGTAGGGTGGCGGGCGGGCCGCAGGCAGGGCGGCGGTAGGGCCGCAAGTAGGGCGGCGGGCGGGCCGCAGGTAGGGCGGCGGTAGGGCCGCAAGTAGGGCGGCGAGCGGGCCGCAGGTAGGGCGGCGGTAGGGCCGCAAGTAGGGCGGCGGGCGGGCCGCAGGTAGGGCGGCGGGCGGGCCGCAGGTAGGGCGGCGGGCGGGCCGCAGGTAGGGCAGCGGGCGGGCCGCAGGTTGGGTGGCGGGCGGGCCGCGACGTGAGGGCGGCGGGGCCGCTGTAGTGGGGCGGCGGGGCCGCTTAGCAGAGGGCGGCGGGGCCGCGTGAGCAGGGCGGCGGGGCCGCGTGAGTAGGGCGGCGGGGCCGCGAAGCAGAGGGCGGGCGGGCCGCGACGTGAGGGCGGCGGGGCCGCTGAAGCAGGGCGGCGGGGCCGCTTAGCAGAGGGCGGCGGGGCCGCGTGAGCAGGGCGGCGGGGCCGCGAAGCAGAGGGCGGCTGGGCCGCGCGAGCAGGGCGGCGGGGCCGCGAAGGAAGGGCGGCGGGGCCGCGTTAGTAGGGCGGCGGGGCCGCGAAGGAAGGGCGGCAGGGCCGCGTGAGCAGAGTGGCGGGGCCGCGAAGGGAGGGCGGCGGGGCCGCGAGGGGCGACACGGAGGGTCGCTAAAAAAAAGGAAAACGCGCCTCGGGGCGCGCTTCGGTGGGCCCTAGAAGCAGTCCCTAGGAGGGGACCTGCTCTGATTCCATGTGAAATGAAGAACGAGAAATGTGTGAACTATGAATGAAGTGAGTACATATAGGAAACCCTAATTGGGTTGTACCCCCTATGGGATACCCCACTATAGCCTACACAACAGCATAAGCTATACAATATTCTGACAGTTGATTTACCTATTCTCATCTCATCTCGGTTTCTGACATCGCCCACTGAACGATTCAAACCTTACTCGCACAACATGTAGGTTGGCCGTGGAATTCACTCATCCGCCCGGACCTACCATACCAACGTTCCCGCCCTCCTCACTCCCTTGCCGTGCTTTCCATTCCCAATGACGGCAGACGAAGCCTTCAGTTCGCGTGGTTCAGCATCCCGACATTCTCTAGGTTCGTGATGCTGAGCTTCAGCAACAGATTTGCCCACTCCATATCACACTTTCCGAGACTCTCGCCAGCTTCCAAGCCTACCCCGTTTTCCGCCTTCCAGTTTTGCTTGGCAGCAACAGGGATTCCGTACGGTATCTGTGGCCAGAACCCGAGGCACCGGAGTGCCATAATGATGTACTACATACTAGGTTGGTGTTTAGGTTCCAATGGGTGTTTGATTTCCACTGTAATAATTAACTTTACAACATCGGAGTGTCTACCTCCTAGGGTTATACGGTACAACACAGCTTGACTATGGAACAGGGCGAGCATCTAACATAAGCTGAAAAAAGTGAACTACCAGCTATATCACTTCTTTCCTCCCTTGCCACCTTTTCCCCCTTTTCCACCCTTGACGCCCTTTCCTCCCTTTCCTCCCTTCCCCCCCTTCGCACCCTTCACACTCTGAGTAGTAGCGAAGTTGGAACCGACAGAACCCCCTTGATCCCCGACAGCTCCCCCTTGCTGTCCGCCCTGTCCGCCCTGCTGGCCGCCCTGCTGTCCGCTCTGCTGTCCGCTCTGCTGTCCGCCCTGCTGTCCGCCCTGCTGTCCGCCCTGCTGTCCGCCCTGCTGTCCGCCCTGCTGTCCGCCCTGCTGTCCGCCCTGCTGTCCGCCCTGCTGTCCGCCCTGCTGTCCGCCCTGCTGTCCGCCCTGCTGTCCGCCCTGCTGTCCGCCCTGCTGTCCGCCCTGCTGTCCGCCCTGCTGTCCCCCCTGCTGTCCCCCCTGCTGTCCACCCTGCTCCCCGCCGGGTCCGCCCTGCTGTCCGCCAGGTCCGCTCTGCTGTCCGCCAGGTCCGCCCTGCTGTCCGCCAGGTCCGCCCTGCTGTCCGCCCTGCTGCCCGCCCTGCTGCCCGCCCTGCTGTCCGCCGGGTCCGCCCTGCTGTCCGCCTTGCTGTCCGCGCTGCTGTCCGCCAGGTCCGCCCTGCTGTCCGCCAGGTCCGCCCTGCTGTCCCCCCTGCTGGCCGCCCTGCTGTCCACCCTGCTCCCCCCCCGGTCCGCCCTGCTGTCCGCGCTGCTGTCCGCCAGGTCCGCCCTGCTGTCCGCCCTGCTGTCCGCCCTGCTGTCCCCCCTGCTGTCCCCCCTGCTGTCCACCCTGCTCCCCGCCGGGTCCGCCCTGCTGTCCGCCAGGTCCGCCCTGCTGTCCGCCAGGTCCGCCCTGCTGTCCGCCAGGTCCGCCCTGCTGTCCGCCCTGCTGCCCGCCCTGCTGCCCGCCCTGCTGTCCGCCGGGTCCGCCCTGCTGTCCGCCTTGCTGTCCGCGCTGCTGTCCGCCAGGTCCGCCCTGCTGTCCCCCCTGCTGGCCGCCCTGCTGTCCACCCTGCTCCCCCCCGGGTCCGCCCTGCTGTCCGCCCTGCTGTCCGCCAGGTCCGCCCTGCTGTCCGCCAGGTCCGCCCTGCTGTCCGCTGGGTCCGCCTTGCTGTCCCCCCTGCTGGCCGCCCTGCTGTCCGCCCTGCTCCCCCCCGGGTCCGCCCTGCTGTCCGCCCTGCTGTCCGCCAGGTCCGCCCTGCTGTCCGCCAGGTCCGCCCTGCTGTCCGCCGGGTCCGCCCTGCTGTACCCCCTGCTGGCCGCCCTGCTGTCCGCCCTGCTGTCCGCCAGGTCCGCCCTGCTGTCCGCCAGGTCCGCCCTGCTGTCCGCTGGTTCCGCCCTGCTGTCCGCCGGGTCCGCCCTGCTGTCCGCCGGGTCCGCCCTGCTGTCCGCCGGGTCCGCCCTGCTGTCCGCCGGGTCCGCCCTGCTGTCCCCCCTGCTGGCCGCCCTGCTGTCCGCCCTGCTGTCCGCCAGGTCCGCCCTGCTGTCCGCCAGGTCCGCCTTGCTGTCCGCCAGGTCCGCCCTGCTGTCCGCCGGGTCCGCCCTGCTGTCCGTCGGGTCCGCCCTGCTGTCCGCCGGGTCCGCCCTGCTGTCCGCCGGGTCCGCCCTGCTGTCCGCCGGGTCCGCCCTGCTGTCCGCCGGGTCCGCCCTGCTGTCCGCCGGGTCCGCCCTGCTGTCCGCCGGGTCCGCCCTGCTGTCCGCCGGGTCCGCCCTGCTGTCCGCCGGGTCCGCCCTGCTGTCCGCCGGGTCCGCCCTGCTGTCCGCCGGGTCCGCCCTGCTGTCCGCCGGGTCCGCCCTGCTGTCCGCCGGGTCCGCCCTGCTGTCCGCCGGGTCCGCCCTGCTGTCCGCCGGGTCCGCCCTGCTGTCCGCCGGGTCCGCCCTGCTGTCCGCCGGGTCCGCCCTGCTGTCCTCCGGGTCCGCCCTGCTGTCCTCCGGGTCCGCCCTGCTGTCCGCCGGATCCGCCCTGCTGTCCGCCAGGTCCGCCGCCCAGATCTCCGCCACTGCCGCCGCCCAGGTCTCCGCCGCTGCCTCCGCCCAGATCTCCGCCGCTTCCGCCGCCCAAATCTCCTCCGCTTCCGCCGCCCAAATCTCCTCCGCTGCCGCCGCCCAAATCTCCGCCGCTGCCGCCGCCCAAATCTCCGCCGCTGCCGCCGCCCAAATCTCCGCCGCTGCCGCCGCCCAAATCTCCGCCGCTGCCGCCGCCCAAATCTCCGCCGCTGCCGCCGCCCAAATCTCCGCCACTGCCGCCGCCCAAATCTCCGCCGCTGCCGCCGCCCAAATCTCCGCCACTGCCGAAATCTCCATTGCCGCCGCCCAAATTATCACCAGCCAGAAGAATGTGTTTGCTTGCATCCGCCTTCAGAAGCGAGAGCGCTTTGAGAGCAAGGCTACGGCGCGGAGCGAGGAACCTCGCCGAACCTACACAGATTGAAAAAAAAAAAAAAAAAAAAAAAAAAAAAAACAGCAACAACAACATTAATACAGATCCGTCGATTTAGTTGGAACCAGGGAACCGGGCTCCGGGAAGGAGTCAATTCGAGAATGCACGACAAAAGCGTAATTGAGTAGAGGAGAATTGGGAAAGTAGTTTAATAATGATATAAGAAGAGGTAAGGGAAAATACTATGGAAATGGTGGGGATGAGGAGAGAATGTTGCGTACCGAAGTGGGACACTCACCTGGCTCTACAAACACTGACGCCGCCAAAAGCGCGAGAAGAATAGGCAACGCCATGCATCGCATTTCGCAGCCCATTGTGCAGGAATAAGGCTCTCCTCCTCCCGTACTCGTTGGAAAGAGATGAGTTGAATGACACAGCTTCAACACTAGGAAAGGCTTGAGTGCCGGGAAGGCTGAGTGAAATGTCCCAAAAGGGGCGAGTATGCAAATGTGAGTGGCGAGTGTGTATTTCTACTTGTACAATTGCGGTGTGGTGCGAACGCGGCTCGAAAGGAATTGTGGCTTGGTGGGAGGCCATGACGCGATTGGTTTTGGCGGGATGATGTGGTTTCCCGCCAGGTCGAATCCGCGACTTCCGCAACTAGCTCAGGTTTTGCAGGCGCATTTCACGACAGGGAGATTGGACGATGGTTCCATGACGTAGGGTTACAAGTTCAATCTGCGATTCCGAAATGGCTCGCAAATGCGCTTCCGAATGTTGCGCCGTACTGTTTGGACAGGCCACAGGCCCCCACAGAACCTGCGCAATCGTTGAAGCTCGTTGACCGCTTTCTTGGGAAATTGGGAAAGCGGTTGACGCGGCAGGCCCGCGAAGTGCGCAAGTGCCATAGCAGCAGATAACATTAGACACTTGATATTTGCGGAACACCCGTTCATCTTTTATTACCACTGTATGTACCTTTTCTCTATTCAATCATGACATGCTCTCAATGCGATGCACCACCCAATGACAGGTAAGGTTATTAATGACGACAGCCCTACTGTTATTTCATAACACACATGATGGCAGAAGTAAACCTCGGGATAGCACTCTCTCAATCGAACGATGACATCGTTAGGCAATATTGTAGCACCATCACTCAGCGTACCATAAATAGCTGACAGCGCATCAGTCCTGCCAGCCCATACAGCCGGTTGGGTAGCCCCAGCTCCAGCCAGAACGAAGGATAGTTTTGCATGAGCGAGTCTTAATAGAAACCCCTTCTATATTTCAACCATCCCGCACCGTTCTCAATCCTGCCCGCTCCAGTCGTACAGCCGGTTGGGCAGCCCCAGCCAGAACCAGAACCAAGGCCAGTGTTGAGGCTTGACTTGAGACATCTTCCAAGCTTCAACCATCCCCCACCGCTCTCAATCCCGCCAGCTCCAGTCAGACTCGTACAGGCGGTTTGGCAGCCCCAGCCAGAACTTGAGCGCCTCAAAGCCCCGGGACCCCGGGAAGTCATCAGGAACAGCGGTGGTGGTGGAGAGGGAGGAGAGGGCGCGGTGGCGGCGCGAGGAGAGGGAGGTGATGAGCATGCGCTTGTACTTGAGCCTGTCCGGCGCCAGCCCTGCCCTCTCCATCGCCCCCACGACTTCCAGTGCGCGCTGTGAGAGGGAGAGGGGGTGGGAGGGGAGGAGTGGGGAGAGGGGGAGGAGGAGGGGGAGGGGGAGGAGGAGGGGGAGGGGGAGGGAGAGGGGAGGGAGAGGGGGGAGAGGGGAAGGAGAGGTTTAGAGAAGAGAGCAATTGCCAGGGAAGGGAGGAGGACGCTGGAGATGATGAGAGGCATGCACCCAGAAGTGTTGACGCAAGTAGCAAGGGGTGCAAGAGAGGTGAGTGACGGAGAGAGGTGAGTGACAAGCAGAGGTATAGAGGGAGAAAGGTTTAGAGTGTGAGAGATAGGCCTGGGAAGAGATCCTCACCTGGAAGTACCCGGCCTGCATGAAGATGAGCATGAGCCCATCCATCACTGCCTCATCAGTGTTGCAGCACGTGACAAGGAGAGGCAGAGTGAGAGGTAGAGAGCGAGAGGGAGGCATGGGGAGAGCAGCTCACCTGGAAGTATCCAGCCTGCATGAAGATGAGCATGAGCCCATCCATCACTGCCTCGTCCACACACACCCCTGCTGCCCCCTTCGCCTCTCCTCCTGCCACTCCTGCCCTCCACGTCACTCTTTCTTCTGCCACACCCACCCCTCTCCCTCTCGCTCCCTCTCCCTCCCTTCTCTGCTCCCACCTGTTCCTCACCCACTCCCTCTCCCCGCGTACCCCTACCACCTCCACCACTCCCCCCTCCTCACCCTCACTCTCCTCCGTCCCTCCCTCCTCCTCACTCCCTCCCTCACTCCCGCTCCCTCCCGCCTCACCTCGCTCCTCCCACCGCCCCTCCCTCGCCTCTCCCATCAGTTCCCACCTTTCTTCCCCGCCCGCAATTCCCCCCAACCCTTCCTCCCCATCACTACCCTCCGCCCCCACCAGACGCTCCTTCAAGTCGCGCCACAGCACCAGCGCCTCCCCGGCCCTCTCTGCTGCTGCCAGTGCTCGCACCAGACTGCCGTATGTGGCTGGGGTAGGGGCAATCGAGGCTGCCTGCAGGCGGGAAGGAAGAGAGAGGTGTGGGAGAGAGAGGGGAAGGTTGCTTCACCAGTCGATCCTTTTGAGTCGCACCACAACACCAGCGCCTCCCCTGCCCTCTCCGCTGTTGCCTGTGCGCGGCCTAAGCTGCCATAGGTGGTTGGCGTGGGGAAGACTGAAGCCGCCTGCAGGTGGGAGAGGAGGTGAAAGTGAGGAAGGAGGTGAAAGTGAGGAAGGAGGTGAAAGAGAATGGTTCAAACATGTGAAAGTGAGGGGACGACTGAAGTCACCAACACCAGTGCCTCCCCCCTCTGCAGTTGCCAATGCGCGCATTTGAGTGTCGTTGTTGGCTGGCGCGGGGACGACTGAAGCGGCTTGCATGTGGAAGAAAGGCAGTTGCGGAAGAGAGCGAAAAGGCAAAGGCCATTCGCGAGTCATGCGTTTGATCTGTGAGTCATGCGTTTGATCTGTGAGTCATGCGTTTGATCTGTGAGTCATGCGTTTGATCTGTGAGTCATGCGTTTGATCTGTGAGTCATGCGTTTGATCTGTGAGTCATGCGTTTGATCTGTGAGTCATGCGTTTGATCTGTGAGTCATGCGTCTGATCTGTGAGTCATGCGTTTGATCTGTGAGTCATGCGTTTGATCTGTGAGTCATGCGTTTGATCTGTCAGTCATGCGTCTGATCTGTGAGTCATGCGTTTGAGCTATCAGTCAAGCGCGCCTCTTGAGGTGCCTCAAAGCCATGACTGTGCATGAGTTGTAAAATCGTGTACCGATGCGTGCCTCCGCATCTGCCAGTGCTAGACTGGACTCTGGCAGCAGAGGGACCACCAAGTGGTGCGGCCAGAAGCGAGGCAGCAGCAAGAGGAGGAGGGAGCATCATGAGCGGTGGCGTGAGTGGGTCTTGGAATGCAGCAAGAAGAGAGCACGAGCAGTTGTTGGTCCCTCGCATGCGAGGAGTGTGGTGGGAGAATGGAGATTCATCATCAGTGAGAGCGAGGTGAGAGCGAGGTGAGAGCAAGGTGAGAGCGAGGTGAGAGCAAGGTGAGAGCAAGGCGGTGAGCGGAGAATGAAGGTGACACGGAAGGGAGGTGACTGCAGGGGCAACAGCGGGGATGCGTGCAAGAGAAAGGCGAAGCACGTCAGTGAGGGAGGCGTAGGTATGCCCACCCTGGACCCCCTCGTACGGTTAGGCTTGTAACGCTAAAAGAATTCCAAGCTGATACAGAGAGTAGGTTTGCCCACCTTGGCTCGCTGGTACAGGCTCCACGCCTGGTCCACCAGCCCTGCCCTCGCCTGTGAGTCAATCACCGCACCCCACGCCGCCGCATCCACCCGCAACTCCTCTCCACCGCTCACCACCGAGCCGCCTCTCCCTCCCCGACTCCCACCACCGCTCTCTCTCCCTCCCAACCGCACTCCACCACTTCCAGCCTCCACAAGCATGTCTTCAAACACGGAGAGGGCGCGGGCAGGGTCGGCATCAGGGGCCTGGCCGAGGGCAGAGATGAGAGCCGTGTACACCTGCACTGTCGGTGCTATGCCTTCCCGTCGCATGCGCGCAAACCACTGCACTGCTGCCTCTGCCCCACTCCACTCGCTCTCCCCCCTGCCCCACTGTGTCTGCCACCTGCTGCTGCTGCTGCTGCTGGCCCTGTTGCTGTACTGTGCTGAGTCCACAGCTGTCCTATCCAAATCGGAAGTTCTGGTTCCGCTGGTGAGGCTGCTCCTGCTGTCACCCACACCAGTGCTGCTTGCACCATTGCTATTACTAGGGCTATCATTTCTTGTCGGGCCTGTAATTGCGCCAGCAGCATAGGGGCCAGCAGCAGCCTGAGGCAACACATCAGCCCCGGCAGCAGCAGCAGCAGCAGCGCCACGGACAGCACCACCCTTAGCACTCCACCTCCCCTGACCTCCCTTCCACGTGCCCGCCCTGCCACACGCTGCAATGATGGTCGCAAACGTTGCAGCATTCGGCCGCACGCCCCACACAGCCGCTCCTTGCGGAATCTCAGCCTCAGAAGCACCATCAGTAGCAGCCTCGCGAGCAGCGGGTGGCCTTTGAGGCCCATCAGAAGCACCCTGAGAGCCTCCAGCAGCCTCCCCAGTGCCTTGCACCCGCCGTTGCTTCCCAGCACCCGCACCACACCCCATCTCCCTCAGCAGCGCCTCCACCTCGCCCATCTGCCCGCGGTCGCAGTGGGCTTTAACCAGCACGTTCAGCACGGCTGTGTTGCCCGCCACGCCCCGCGCGCGCATCTCTTGCAGCAGCTGCCGCGCTGCCACCACCGCAAGCTCATCCAGGGTGCCTGCACCTGCTAGGTCCTCGCTGATTTCCCTCATCGCCAGATTGCTGAAGCCTGTCCGGGCCAGCATGTTGTCCCTGCCGCCGCCGCTGCTAGTGATGCTGCTGCTGTAGCCGTTCGGCCTCTCAACAATTCCCCCTGGGCGGTCAGACTCACTCCTGCTGCGGCTAGCATCCAGCACGCCCGCACGGCCATTCCCCAGCCCCTGCTGCTCTAGCGCCTCCCCCCTGCGTGCACCTGCCTCACCCTCGGCAGAGTTAAGACTCTCAGCGGCGTTACGACCACCACTACTGTCCGCACTGGGCCGTGCAGTCTTCAAAATGCTTGGCCTCCGCAGAGATGATTCTGCTCCCCGCGAATCCACCGCGGCTGCCGCAGCGGGTGAAGTGGCGGGTGCAAGGGGAGGCAGTGCTGGGGGCGTGCTGCTGCTGGCTGTTAGAGCAGCTTGCTGCGTTGCAGAGCTAACTGCAGTGGTTCCAGTGGCAGGGGTGGCGGCAGTAGAGGCAGCAGAGGCAGCGGCAGCGCGGGCGAGGATGGGTGCAGGGATGAGGTGGGGCGGCGAGGAGACGAGGGCGTGCATGAGTGTGGCGTACGTGATGTGGTTGGGCGCCGTGTCCGCCCGCTGCTTCATGCGCTCAAACCACTGCCCATTCATGTTGTGGGAGGTGAGGGATAGGTGGAAGTGGGGGGGAGGACTAGGAAGTCAAGGAAACCGGATCTGGCAAGAATGATGTGATCCTGGTTGGCCCATGCGAACAGAATACAACAGTCGAGTGAACATAGTCTATTATACACAAATGATTTATACGATATAGCACAAGCAAACAATCCATCACAGACGATACGTCACACACAAGACTCAGCGAGTGGGAGAGGGCAGTATGGTATGGATTTGTGGGGAGGAAGAGGGCGCACCTCAAAGGCTGCAGCGAGGTCTCCAGAGGCGACGAGCCCCTTGATGAGGATGGAGAGCATGCGCACGTTGGGCCCCACCCCCACCCGATGCTTCCCACCCTCCTCTCCCTGCACCACTCCCTTCTCCTCCCCTTCCCCTTCCACTTCCCCTTCTTTGCCCCCCTCCCCCCGCCCCTCCCCCTGCGCCTCCCCCAGGTGCCACATGGTCTGCACGAGCGCCTGTGCCTCCCCCATCATGCCGCACGCCACGTACCCCGCCACCACCGAGTTGAACGACGCTGCGTCTGGCTGCACGCCGTGCGCCTGCGGAGTGAGGGAGAGGGGGAGAGGAAGAGAGAGGAGTCAGACAGGGTATGAGGCGGTGCTATGCGGTAGTGAGGCCCAACTGTCCAATCATGCTGCACGCCACATAGCCCGCCACCACCGAGTTGAACGACGCTGCATCTGGCTGCACGCCCTGCGACTGTAGGGTGGTGGATGGGGATGGGAGGAGTGAGACAGGGTGTGAGGTGAGGTGCTGTGCTGCTACACGGTAGTGAGCCCCATGAGCCCCATGAGCCCCATGATGCTGCACTGCACGCCACACACCCTGCCACCACTGGGGTGAACGGCCTGCCTGCTCGCCTTGTCACCCGGGAAGATGGTGTTTGAGTCGGATGGGTGTGGGAGGGGGGAAGGGAAGGGGGAAGGGGGGGAGATAGAAAGGAGGAGTTAAGGCATGCCCTGCATTGCGCGCCCATTGATGAAATTGATGAAGCTCATGAGGTTGTCACGCGTCACGCCCATGCCTTTCCCTGCCCATGCCTTTCCCCGCCCATGCCTTTCCCCGCCCATGCCTTTCCCTGCCCATGCCTTTCCCTGCCCATGCCTTTCCCCGCCCATGCCTTTCCCCGCCCATGCCTTTCCCCGCCCATGCCTTTCCCCGCCCATGCCTTTCCCTGCCCATGCCTTTCCCTGTCACGCCCACCCCTGCCCATGCGGCCATGCCTTTCCCTGTCACGCCCACAGATGCGCTTCCCATGCCATGCCACGCCACTCACCAGCATGTGTCTCAGCAGCTCATGTGCGCGGTCAGGCATGCCCTGTGCTGCGCGCCCCTTGATCAGAATGTTGAAGCTGATGGCGTCGGGGGTCACGCCAGCCCCTGCCATGCCCTCCCCCAGCAGCCGCTCCGCCAATGGGAGGTCGCCAGCTGTCACCGCCGCGTTGATGGCTGCGTTGAAGGCTGCTGTGTCCGGGCGCATGTGGGGGGCGCTCTGAGGGGAGAGGGTGGGAAAAGGGGGTTTGAGGGGGGAATAGGGGGCGCATAGGGGAGATGGGGGCCGGAATAAGGGGTTGAAGGCTGCTGTGTGGGGCGCCATGTGGGGACGCTTTGGGGAGGAAAGCAATGGGGGGTGTGCTTAATGGTGAAGGCACCTTGGCAGCAAGCAGCGCCACAGCAGATCAATGAAAAGCCTCAAGGATCCCAGCATCCCACACGCCTTGACAGCAGCGACGTCGCAGCAGTCTTTGAAAAGCGTCACGGCAGCAGCAGCGAGCGTGGGGTGTCAGCTCATGCGGCTCTATTTTGAGCTGACTCAGAGATCAACGCACCTTGGCAGCAGCGACATCGCAGCAGTCCCTGAAGAGCCTCACGGCGGCGGCAGCGAGCGCGGGGTCGCGGCCCATGCGGCTCACCACGGCGCTCCACACCGCCACGCGCGGCAGGTGCCCCTCGCGCAGCATCTGCGCCAGGAGCTCCGCTGATGGGCGGAAGGACGGAGAGGGGAAGTGGGAAGGGGACAGGAGGGGAGAGTTGGGGGGGAAGAGGCGGGGTCATGGAAGAGACGCGAGAGGGGAGAGGGTGGTGTGGCTGTGCCTGAAAGCACCACGATGCTCTGACACCATGCGAGGTAGGAGTTCTGGTGACGGGAGGAAAGGGTAGCGGAAGCGGAAGAGGGAGAGCAACAGGCCATTGCTCACCTGCGTCAGCCGCACAGCCACTGCGCGCCGCTGCCATCACAGCGAGCCCGAACGCGTCTTCATCCACCTGCACCTCTCTGAACACCTCTCCACTCTCTCCAGCACCACTCCCCACCGCACTCCCCGCCAGCCACTGCTGCTCCCACGCACCCCTGCGCTCCGCCTGCGCCTCTCCGCCCGCCTGTCCCCCTAACTGCGCGCGGGACACCTCGTCGATCAGCCGCTTCGCCTTGCGCCACTGCCCGCGGAGGCTCAGTTGCGCCACCGCGCGGCTCCAGCAGCGGCTGCCCGCCCACCGCCCCGCCTGCCGCTCCCGCCACAGCAGCCTCACCGCGTCGTCCGTGCGCCGGTCCGCCAGCGCGCGCGCAATCTCCGCCTCCACCTCCTCCGCCACGCGCTCCAACGCGCGCTGCTGCGCCCACACCTGTACCGGGGAGGGGCGGGGCGCGCGCTGGCGCTGGCGCGGGCGCTGCGCGGGCATATTGGCGGCGGCCGCCATAACGGAGGACAACGAGGGGAGCTCATCTGCGCTCCCGCGGTAGCCGCCCCGCTCGTTTCCCGCACTCTCGCCCCTTCCCCTCGCAATACCTCTGCTACCACTATCCCCGCTGCTCCTCTCCCCAGCACCCCTCCCCGCGCCATCTGCTTCTCCGCGACCTTCCGACGCGGGGGGGTTCCGCGCGCCTGCAGGATCTGCGCGGCTGGCGCGTGGCGGATCTGACTCTTCGAGCTGCAGGGCGCGCAGCTCGTCGCTGTAATCCGGGCGCCGACTCAGCGGAACCGTCCTCTCGCGCACCTTCTCGGATCTTTCCTGCCACTCCGCCTGCTTTCTCTGCTGCCGCTCCTGCTGCCGCTGCTGCTGCCGTTGCTGCTGCCGCTGTTGCCGCGACTGTCCCTGTCTTCCCCTCGTCCCTCTCTCCCCCGCGCCGTCGCCGAGACTGCTGCCGCGGCGAGGGTCGAAGGAGTCGGGGGAAGGGGAGAGGGGGAAGGGGGAGGCGGAGCAGGAAACCCGCGCAGAGAGTCGGCGGGAAATGCTGGCGGAAAGCGTGGTGGCGGACGTCATTACGTGCGCGGAGGGCAGAAGTGGAGCTGCGAGGTGCGAAACGAGAGGATTCGCGAGGGGAAACGGATCTGCTCGGACCATCGCGCTTCGGTGCCCTCTTAGCAATCTCCTGCTTCGATGGTAACCGAGATGGTTTGTTCTAGGAAACTGAATTCCCTCTCGGAGGTACGAGCGCGTGCGTAGCGACGCAAGCACGAATCGCAGGGCTGACGGTTGAAAACGTACTGTTAGAAAAAAACTACGTGTTGGTGGGTGGGAGGTAGGGGTGAAGAAGACTCGGTTTAGGTGCTGTCGATCCCAAGTTTGCAACATGGTTGGAAGCGACTAAGAGAGCTGTAGTGCGGTGGCGATTCGCTCGAGATTCCCATTCTCCTCATCCCAACGGTAGTCTGTGCGAGGGAATGGGAGGCAAGGAAAGAGTGGGTGTGAGCATCCTCTTTGTACGGTATTATTCGGTATAAATAGATACATAAACGCTTCAATCTGGTGCTTTGGTATAGCAGATTCTCTGACATCACATGTACGATGGAGGCTGTGGCAGGGCAGAGAGGTGCATGATGGCGGCGCGGAAAAGGGTGAATCTCGCTACAAGGCGAAGGGATGGCGTCGAGGGAGAGTCGAATGAACACGTTGTTGCCACGGTGGCCGAACGCGTGGCACGTGATGATGAGCGAGGAAGGACGAGCTGGCAGGCCAAAAGTTCAGTGATACACAAATCACCGTCTCCAAGAACTAGCCCTGCTATTCGTTAATATGAAAAATCTGTACTAACATATCGTACCTTAGTAAAGGGTGACATGGGGTTAAGATTGAGGAATTTCGAAACAAGAAGAAAACATTGACATAAAAATAAAATTTTCTATACCAGTTTTAACTAAATATTATAATTCAAGAACACACTGGCTAAGACCTACAGTATTTGCATGCCTCCCAACATGTTTGCAAATGTATTGCAAGCTTCAAGTATCTTTCATCCTCTGTGACTCCTCAATATTAGTACAGGTGCAATGAATCGAGGTAGCGAGAATTGCACTAAGGTGTCAAAACGAGTACAAAATGTGAGCGAAGGCATGAGCGAACATTTATACGCGAAACATGCCAACGGTAACGCGGTGTGTGCGAGCTAGCTAGTGCTACGCTGAAAGCGAGGCTCGGGCCAGTCCCGAAGCGTAGGCCGACGCGGCCGGTCCAGCAGTGCGAGGTTTGGGAAAACAGTGCGCGCGAGGTTCGGCGAAGCCCCGTTAGCAGTAACGGGCGAACAACGTCTGCTGCTGTACGCGGTGTTGTAGGGTGCGCTAAGGAATATTGAGAAAATTCCTTACTCTACCCCCCCCCCCCCTCAAGAAGCCCCCTCCGCTACGCGAGTGCGTGTATATCGCGGAAACCTCGGCTCCTCAGGTACACTTGCAGGGCAGGGTGGTTTTCAATGTTGGCCAGGGGCACCCAACTATCTTCAGTTGGCGTGCGATCCTTCCAGCGAACGAGGAATTCAATCCTCCTGATTTCCGTGGGGTGTCGAATCCGATGGCTCAGGATTTTTTCGGGCTCGATGATCAGCTCCGATGCAGGGCGAGTCATGGATGGCGGGCGGTGACGAGGCAGTTGGCTAGTGGTTGGGATGTATGGGCGAAGTAGGCTGACGTGGAATGAAGGGCTGACGTGGAATGAAGGGCTGACGTATCAGTCTGTTGGCAACAGTAGGTGGGTTGTCACTGGGGTAATCATGTGACTGATTTGGAATGGTCCACAGTAGCGGGGTCTCAATTTCGGTACGACGGGCAGCCTTAAGTTCTGTGTGTCGAGCAGTACGTAATCCCCTGACTGGTACGTGACTGGGCGGCGGTGGCGGTCAGCGTTGCGTTTTGCGATGACGTTGGCTAATTTAATTGCTTCAGCGGCTCTGATGCGGGCAGCTTGCAAAATTTCGACGAATTGCTGTGCACGTGGTGTTGGGTTGTCCGGGCTTGACGTCATGGGCACTGTAGGGTTTTGCCCGTAGTTCAGGTAGAAAGGGGACTGCTGCGTCGTTGCTGACGTGGCGTTGTTATATGCGAACTCGATCAGCGGCAGCTGCTGCTCCCAAGTGGTCGGGTCGTCACACGTGGCACGAATCAACTGCTCCATTGTCTGCTTCGTCCGCTCCGTTTGACCGTCGGTCTCGGGGTGGTACGACGAGCTAAACTGTAGCCCTGTCCCAAACTGCTCCCAGAGGTTCTTCCAGAAGTTGCTGGTGAACTTCGTGTCGCGGTCGCTGATTATCGCGGCTGGTATCCCGTGCAGTCGAACGATGGTTGCGATGAACAGGCGAGCGGCTTCTTCGGCTGAGATCGATTTCTTGCACGCAGCGAAGTGTGCCATCTTCGTCAACCTGTCAACGACGACCATAACTGCGTCGTTACCCCCAGGGTTTGAAGGTAACCCAGTGACAAAATCCATGGTAACCTGCTGCCAGGCGCGCTCAGGCAGTGGTATCGGCTGCAACTGACCCGCCTTTCTTTTCCGCGAGCTCTTCATCACCTGACACGTAGGACACGAGCCCATGTGGTGCTTCACGTCGGTCAACAGCTCCGGCCAGTAGTAATACCGCTGCAGTTGCTGTCGCGTTTTTTCTACCCCGAAATGTCCCGAGGTAATCCCGTCGTGTGCCTCCTGCAGTAACAGTTCCCTCAGTAGTGAGTACGCGGGTACCCAGATGCGGTTGGTGCCTGTTTTTACGTAATAGACTCCTTTGGCCTTTGCCAGTTGCTGTGAATTTCCGGTTGTGAAAAATGGGTCGATACTGTATCCGTGGGTGAATAGGCCTGTTAACAGCGGGTTGGTTTGGGCGAGTAGGGTGGCGTGGAGTTGGGCCGTGGGGCGTGTGAGTGCGTCGGCGATGTTGGACGCGCCTTTTTTGTACGTGACCGTGTAGTGGAAGTTGGACTCCAGATAGTCCAACCAGCGGATCTGTCGTGGGTTGAGATTCGGTTGGGCGCGCAGGTACTGTGGTGATCGGTGGTCTGTCCGTACTGTCACGTCTGCTCCCGTGAGGTAACATCACCACACCTTGAACGCGTGCACGATCGCTAGCATCTCGCGGTCGTGTATCGGGTAGTTGCGTTCGGGCGGGTGAAGCTTGCGGGACTCGTACGCGATTGGCTGAAGGCCATTCCCAAAGTCCTGCAACAGTACTGCTCCCACAGCGATGTCGCTAGCATCGGTGATCAGCTCGAACGGACGATGCGGATCTGCGATGTGAAGCACGGGCGGTGAGCACAAAATATTTTTTAGGGCCGAGAAGGCAGCTTGCTCTTTCTCCCCCCACGTCTACTCAACCCCCTTCCTCAGCAGGTCGGTCAACGGGGCAGTCAGCTTCGCCATGTCGGGGACGAACCGGCGCACGTAGTTGACGAACCCCAGAAAACTCTGCAACTCGGTCAAGTTGGTCGGCGCGTGCCATGCTTGAATCGTCGCGATATTTTTCGGGTCTATTTCCACTCCTGCAGCTGAAATAATGTGTCCCAAAAACTCCAGCCGGTCCTGTAAAAACTCACACTTAGACGCTTTTGTTAGTAGACGGTTCTCACTCAGTATCTTACAAACTTCTTCGATGTCATGTAAGTGCTGTGCTCTGTCAGGGCTGTAAATCAGTATGTCGTCCAGGTATACGATGACGCACTTATCTAAAAGCGGGCGGAAGGCTTCGTTCATGGTCATTTGAAAAGTGGCAGGGGCGTTGGTCAGTCCGAAGGGCATGACGGTGTATTCGAAGGATCCGTAGCGTGTTCGGAAGGCTGTCTTAGGGCAGTCGGGTGGGTTGACGCGAATCTGGTGGTAACCCCCTCGAAGGTCGATTTTAGAGAAAACCCGGGCTGTGCGCAGTTGGTGGATCAGTTCGTCGGCTCGCGGGATGGGGTAAAGGAATTTGATGGTAACCCTGTTCAGTGCTTTGTAATCTATGCACATGCAAAAACCCCCGTCTTTTTTCGGTGTGAACAGTATCGGTGCCGCGAAGGGTGACGAACTAGGGCGAATGAACTCCTTCTCGAGCAGGTAATCCAGCTGCTTCCTCAGTTCGTCCAGTTCGGGTTGGGTCAGTCGGAACTGTCGCTGTACTGTTGGCTGTGCCCCCGGTTCTAACTCGATCGTGTGGTCGTGCGGTCGTTGAGGTGGCAGTCCCGTCGGTAAGTCGTCCGGGAAGATGTTACTGTACTGCTTCAACAGTGCTGCCAGATCACTCGATACGTCGGCTAGCAGTTTCTGTAAATCCCCTCCTTTGTCTGCTGCCTCAGCTTTCCGAATGTCAGCCGCGTACACGTCAGCTCCTGCCGCTACGGCGCGTTTCATCGTGATCGCGTTGACACGCACCGACGAAGACTCAGGCGAGCCCCAGCGAGGTAAGGCGATGTTGTTACCGTTCACTCGCACAGTGTAGTCACCCGTCGTCCAGTCGATTCGCGGATTGTGTCGTCGCAGCCAATCACGCCCGAGTAAAATATCGGTTCCGTCGAGGGTCATTGCGAGCATTTCTTGGCTAAACGTGAAGTTACCCCCGCATCGAATCCGAACTCGGTCCACACGTTCCTGTATCGCCAGTGGCGTGCCGTCGACCAGTCTTGCGTCGATCTCAGGTAAACATCTGTCCAGTGGCAGTCGCAGTTTCCGTGCTGTGGCAGTATTGATAAGGCTGTGGCTGGCCCCTCCGTCTACGAAGATTTTAACTAAGTCCGTCCCGATTTTCCCACTACGCAGTGTAGGGCTGTCTACCGTAGTACCCTCCTTATTCGGCCGGGTGTGGTCGATTGCGTGAACCGGCACAATCACTCGGTGAGGGTCGGTTGGGTCGGGCGAGCGGCGTGACCTGCCAGTAGAGGGCCCGTCTGCTACTGACTCCGAGCGTTTCCCTGCTGCTTGGTCTGTTTCTGCTGCTCAGCTTCCCCCTTTCCCTTAGCGTTTTCTGGGCATTCGTTCTTGCGGTGTCCCGGCCGATTGCACGCAAAGCAGCGCCCTTTGAATGGTGCGGCAGCGGCATTTGCGGCGACGGCACGTATCGTAGCGCCCTCGTTCGTCCCACGAGGCCGATGTCCCCAATTGCTGCTCCCGTAGGACCCCGGTCTCGGTCGGCGGAAGAAATCGAGTTTCTCTGCCATGGCGAGAATCTCCTAAAAGTCGGTGACACCGCGAAGCTGGATTTCCTGAGCGATGTCCTGCTTCAGGCCGCCGATGTAGCGGTCGATGCGTTCGCTCTCGCGCATGTATCCCACCTGCTCACATAGCGCCAGAAACCCGCTCGTGTAGTCTTGGACGGAACCAAGTTGGCGCCAAGTACGGAGCCTCTGTCGCGCTGCGATCGAAGCCGCAATTGGCTCGAAACGAGCGCGCAGACCTGCGCACCACGCGTCCCACGTGCGATACTGGGGCACCTCCACGAAATACGACGGCGCCCAGGGTCCGGTTTGTCCTTCCCGTGTCGGTAGAGTCGCGTAGTCCACCAGCTTCGTGACGATGACACGCCACCAATCCATGGCGGGTCCTCTCAGCAACGACATGGCGTAACAAATCTTTGCCGTATCCTCCGAGACGTAGTTCGCGTCGAAGAAAATGTTCAACGTGAAGAGCCACGCCTGAACGGTAGGACCACCCCGCTGACCTGGATCAAAACATGGCGGACGCTGCGGCTTCAGCGGCATCGGCGACGGTAGGGTTGATTCGCCGGCCTGCACGGAGATCGTGACTCGAGGCTGATTCCGGGCCGCATTCGTCGCGTCGGGGTGTGTCGTGCCGTGGTCGTCGTCTCCGTCATGGCGGACGACGCCATCACTTGCGGCGCTCGCGGGTTGCCCCACACTTCCGTGTTGCGATGTCTGTGGTGCGGGCTGAATCGGAGTGCCAGGTGCTTGGGATTGTGCTCGTGCGAGGTCGTTTTGCAGGGAGGTGCGTTCCGCCGTTAATGCTGCGATTTCCTCGGAGCTTTCGTGCAGTTGTCGCAGCAGCTCATCCAGGCGGTCCTGCGTGAGGCTAGTGACGTCAATGCGTTCAGCCATTCCGAAGGCCGTCGGCTCTTCTTAGTCTAGGCGCAGTCGTGGCTGCACGCGTTTACGAGAGAACACGAGGACAGCGGCTCCTAGGGGCTAAGGTGCGTGAGTCCCTTTGAGTGAAAAATCAAAAGTTGATTTCCTGAGGTGCGGAGATGCGCGGTCCGAAAGGAAAGAGGCTCTGAATACCAAGTGTTACGAGTACAAAATGTGAGCGAAGGCATGAGCGAACATTTATACGCGAAACATGCCAACGGTAACGCGGTGCGTGCGAGCTAGCTAGTGCTACGCTGGAAGCGAAGCTTGGGCCAGTCCCAAAGCGTAGGCCGACGCGGCCGGTCCAGCAGTGCGAGGTTTGGGAAAACAGTGCGCTCGAGGTCGGCGAAGTCCCATTAGCAGTAACGGGCGAACAACGGCTGCTGCTGTACGCGGTGTTGCAGGGTGCGCTAAAGAATATCTAGAAAATTCCTTAGAAGTACCCACAAATGCAGCTACGTTTCGAGGACGTTGGCAGGCCTGTTGATGCCGAGTACGAACGCTTCGCTTAGGGCGCGTCCCCTCCCTCGATCGCTCGCGAGTTCGCCGTGAAAAACCGATCGGGCACACCGACCGCAGGTTTGGGCTGGGTTTGGTAGGAGGTGACAATCGGGGGTCGATCCCTAGCCCAAGGTGACAGGATCGAAAATACAAGGGGGAAAAACTCTCGAACCTACAAAAGCCGAGATCGGTGTGGCCACGAAGGCACATCGATCGTCATCAGCGGAGGTGACAAGATCGTTGGGCTGCAGTTACTGTACATTCGCAAGCCATCTCGAAATCAGGCTACCCTGTCAATTGTGACACTGTAGCTGTCCCTCGATCGATCGAGGGCAGGATCGATCGAGGGAGGGGACGCGCCCTTAGCCAAATACCTTTCTCTTTCGCTTTCGCCCTCCCCGAATTCCCGATAGCTCGTTGTGCAAACTGTCGCTAATCCAGAATCGGGTTTTAAGTTCTCACATATCCAGACCTCCATATTTTGTTGCGAGGTGACATCCAAGTATTTTTTAGTGTTGAACTAACAACCACCTCCTTCCTACTATCAACCCATCACCACCCTCGTCCTCCCCGTCTCGAATCCCTCTTTCTTTCCGCCAATCGCGCGTCATCATGTTGGCGCTGGGCGTGGAGGGGTCGGCGAACAAGCTGGGCGTGGGCGTGGTGCGCAGCGACGGGAGCATTCTGAGCAACCCGCGCTGCACGTACATCACGCCGCCCGGCCACGGCTTCCTCCCGCGCGAGACGGCGGCGCACCACCAGCAGAAAATTCTGCCGCTCGTGGAGCGCGCGCTGCGCGAGGTGCGTGCGGCGGGGCTGGTGCGACGAGGTGCGTGCGGGATTGCTGGCGTCCGTCGATCCAGTACCTGCACTGCACGAATGAACCTGCCCTCTCTCTCCCCCCATACGCCGTGGATGGAGTACCTGCATTGCACATATGCACTATTTAACCCCTCCCCTCAACGCATACCCCGCCCTCCACACCCTCACACGCACCTCGTTGCACTCGGTCATGTACCTGCCCTCCCTCGTTGCACTCGGTCATGTACCTGCCCTCCCTCGTTGCACTCGGTCATGTACCTGCCCTCTCTCGTTGCACGTGGTCATGTACCTGCCCTCCCTGGTGCACGCAACCTGACTCTTTTGCAGCGTGTGCGCTCGTCGCTTGATCTCTCCCCGTCCCCGCACGACAGAGTGGCTGCCTGTGCTGCACATCCTGGCCCATCTCGCTCGCCCTTTACCCACCGCTATGCTTCTGGCTCTGCTCTGCTCTGTGAGTGTGGGTGTGTGCGTGCGTGTGCGTGTGTATGTCTGTGTGCATGTGTGTCTGTGTGCATGTGTGCATGTGTGTCTGTGTGCATGTGTGCATGTGTGTCCGTGTGCATGTGAGCATGAGCAGGCGGGCATAACCCCGGGGGACATAGACTGCCTGTGCTACACCAAGGGGCCGGGCATGGGCGCCCCTCTGCAGGCCGTTGCCATCGTCATCCGCACGCTCGCCCAGGTGACGTGCGGTGGAGGTAGGTGAGGTGGGATGGGGGTAGGTGAAGAAGTGGAGTGGAGTGAGGGCAGGTGGAGTGGAGTGAGGGCAGGTGAAGTGGAGTGAGGGCAGGTGAAGTGGGGCTAGGTGAGGTGACCGCTAGCAACTGTGGTGCAAGCCCACCCATAGTCCCGGTGAAGTACTGTGTGGCCCTCATCGATGCAATTCCCAAGGCCAATCAACCCCCCTCTCTCCCCCCCCCCCGCCATCCCACATCCCCCACCCTCCCCCCTTATCCCCCATCCCCCATCCCCCATCCTCCCCCCCCCTCCCAATCCCCCATCCCTCATCCCCCATTACCCCCCCCTCCTCACCCGTCCCCCAATCCCTCCCCCCCCCCCATCCCCCATCCCCCCCCCCCCCCCCCCCCCCCCCCCCCCCCCCCTCATCCCCCATCCCCCAATTCCCTGTCCCCCATCCCCCCCTTACCACCGTGAGTGAGCAGCTGTGGTGCAAGCCGACAGTCCACCCCACCCCTTCGCCCCTCTCTGCCCTCCTTCCTGCCCTCCCCTCCTACCATCGTGAGCAGCTGTGGCGTAAGCCCATAGTGCCGGTGAATCACTGTGTGGCGCACATAGAGATGGGGCGCTGCGTGACTGGCGCCCATGACCCCGTGGTGCTCTACGTCAGCGGAGGCAACACGCAGGTGCGTGCTGTGCGGTGGTGTGTGGTGCAGTGCTGTGCGGTGGTGTGTGGTGCAAGCGCATAGTGCTGGTGAATCACTGTGTGTGTGGTGCACATTGAGATGGGGCGCTGCGTGACTGGCGCTCATGACCCCGTGGTGCTGTATGGCAGCGGAGGCAACACTCAGGTGCGTGCTGTGCTGTGCTGTGCTGTGCTGTGCTGTGCTGTGCGGTGCTGTGCTGTGCTGTGTGCATTCCCATCGGCCCCTAAAATGCGTTCCTCGGCTATTCAATGCCTGTGACCCTAAGGTGTGCTCCTCACCTGATGCTCTAATCAGCAGCTGCATGTCCTGCTTGGCCCCCTCCCGTCTCCTGTGGTTACGGGACGGTACCGCACCACACCCTTCCCCCTCCTCCCCCCCCCTTGGCCCCTCCTGGTGATAGCATACTCGGAAGGGCGGCACCGCCTATCTGGGGAAACCATTGACGTAAGACGCGCCTCAGGACCCACCTTGCTTCCCCCTTCCCCCCCATTTCCCGCCCCTCCCTCATCCAGGTGATATCATATTCAGAGGGGTGCTACTGAATAATCGGGGAGACCATCGACATCGCGGTGGGCAACTGCGTGGACTGCGTGGACTGCCTGCGCCCTTCTCATCCATGATAGCTCCCCGTGATAGTGCGCGGGGCAGTAGCATAACCACAACCTGCATCCCCCTCCCCTTTCCCCCTACGTTGGCAAATACGCGTATCACGTATAATACGCTAGCGTATTATACGCTGGGTATATACGCGGTACGCAATGGCTGGCGTACTGCTGATACGCTAAAATACGCTGGGCGGGCAGGTAAAACTTTTTTCCCGGGCAGTAGAGCTGTAAACAGAGGCTGCATTGCTCGTCGAACTACTAGGAGCTAAGCTTGACGCCATGGCGCGCGACTACGGAACGTCTAACTAACGGGGAAGAATGCTAGACGAGACTTGCGGGAAGTAAATTGAAGAGCATTGTGGAAGTCGTCGACCTAAAAATGCTCACGAAGTGATGAACATTTGAAAGGGGTGGTTGGGTTTGAGAGGTTGGGTAGGGTGGTGTGTGGTTGAGTGGGTGGGAAAGTTTGGATTTTGAAATTCGAAGTTCGGACGTGGGTTGGGTGCTTGAGCGAGTTCGCGGTAACAATTCGCGAAGCCGCAAAGTCGTCGCGAATTTTCTCAATTTCGGATTTTTTTTTCCGCGGGCTGCCCGGGCGTATTTTCGCAAATCCAGAGCGTATTAGCGTACCACGTATATACGCTAGCGTATATACGTGGTACGCCAGCCTTCCCAAAGCGTATCTGCCAACGTAGCTTTCCCCCTGCCTCCACCCAGGTGATAGCATATTCAGAGGGGTTCTACCACATGCTTGGGGAGACCATTGACATTTGAGGCGCCTCACCCTCCCCCCCCCTCCCCCTCCGTCTCCTCCTCCCCTCTCCTGGTCCCCCCACCCAGGTGATAGCATACTCAGAGGGGCGCTACCGCATATTCGGGGAGACCATTGACATCGCCGTGGGCAACTGCCTGGACCGCTTCGCCCGCGTGCTCAACATCTCCAATGACCCCAGCCCCGGCTACAACATCGAGCAGGTGAGGATGGGTGTGGATAGTTTCTGGTAGGTGTGGGTACGTGCGGGTAAATGGAGGTGTGTGCGGGTAAATGGAGGTGTGTGCGGGTAAATGGACGTACATGCGAGTAAATGGACGTACATGCGAGTAAATGGACGTACATGCGAGTAAATGGACGTACATGCGAGTAAATGGACGTACATGCGAGTAAATGGACGTACATGCGAGTAAATGGACGTACATGCGAGTAAATGGACGTACATGCGAGTAAATGGACGTACATGCGAGTAAATGGACGTACATGCGAGTAAATGGACGTACATGCGAGTAAATGGACGTACATGCGAGTAAATGGACGTACATGCGAGTAAATGGATGTACATGCGAGTAAAGAGTCACCGCATGCTGGACATTTCCAACAACCCAGCCCCGGCTACAACATCGAGCAGGTGGGTCATGCCAGCGCATGCATGGGTGTGCATGGGTGCAGGTAGGTGCGATGCGGGTGCGGTCAGATGCAAATGGACCGCTTCGCCCGCGTGCTGCACATCTCCAACTGCCCGGGCTATGACATCGAGCAGGTGATGCGGCCGCATGATGGGTGTTAGTAGGTTCCAGTAGGTTCTGATAGGTTCCAGTAGGTTCCAGTAGGTGCGGGTAGGCATGGTTTGTATGACGATCGAGAGCACTGCTTTGCGTGGGTCCAAAGCAGTCGCTCGCACCAACCCAGGGCTACAAATGCTCTGCAAGGGGGGGGAGGGATCTGAGGAGGTGGAAAAATTGGGAGCAGAAAACCTGAGGGGGTAGAAATTTTCGGAGCAGGGAATGTGAGGACGTGGGAAGATTGGCTGAAGGGAAGAACACCAGACTGTGTGCAGCCCACAGGCGTTTATGGCCGCTGTGCACTGTATGTAGCCCTCACATTCACTCACTCTCTTTCTGCTCCCCTTGTGCTGCCAGTGCTCACCCTCTCCTAAACACCACTCTCACATCACCCCTCCCTCCTCCCCCCTCTCTATCACGCCTTATCTCTCATGGTCTCTCCACCCATCCTGGTCTCTCCACCCATCCTGGTCTCTCCACCCATCCTGGTCTCTCCACCCATCCTGGCCCCTCCACTCATCCTGTCCCCTCCACCCCTCCGCGCTCTGCAGATGGCGAAGCAAGGGCAGCGCTACGTGGAGCTGCCGTACGTGGTGAAGGGCATGGACGTGTCATTCTCGGGCCTCCTCACGGCAGTTGAGGGCCTGGCACAGCGCGTTGCTGCACCGGATGCCGTGGGGGAGGATGGCTACACCGCAGCTGACCTCTGTTTCTCCCTGCAGGTCTGCCCTGCTCCTCATGTAGGCTTCTTTATGGGTTTATATTATCGTTTTTTATGAGCTCTGAATGGGCATATTATGAGCCTTCTTGGGGCTTTCTTACAGATGCTGGGTACGAAATGAATCAGTCTGACTGTGAGGGCCGTTGTGCGATCGGACTGTCTTTTGCGCTGGTTGATTGCTTGCTTCCTTGCTTGCTCCCTTCCTTGTGTGGTGCACAGGAAACTATCTTTGCAATGCTGGTGGAGACAACCGAGCGGGCCATGGCACACTGCAACAAGCGAGACGTGCTTATAGTGGGGGGCGTGGGCTGCAACATTCGCCTGCAGGAGATGATGCAGCAGATGTGCTTAGAGCGAGGGGGACGGCTCTTTGCCACAGACGACCGGTACTGCATTGACAACGGCGCCATGATCGCTTACACTGGGCTGCTGGCCTTTCAACATGGCGGGCTCAGCATGACTGTTCCTGTAGCAGAGTCTACTTGCACTCAGCGGTTTAGAACCGATGAGGTGGAGGCGGTGTGGAGGGAAGGGGAGGGGAGAAGGGCAGAGGGGGTGGAGGAGGGGTTGGAGGGAGGAAGAGGAGTTGTGGGAGTGGAGGTTGCAGCACGGGATGGAGAGCGGAAGCATGGGGCTGAGAATGGAGATGCGGTTGGAATTGGTGGGAAGGGGTGTGCAGGTGAGCAGGAGGGGTTGGGAGTGGTGGATCATGTGGCAGGGCATTTAGAAAAGAAGCTCAAGGCTGGTGGGGAGGAGAGAAGGCAAGAGAGGGAAGAGAAGGCAGCAAAAGAGGAGCCCTCTCTTATGCTGGTAGGCTGAAGTTCTGCTGGCAAAGTTTTTTTCCTCTTGAGTGCTGATTTGTGTCCTTGTAAATTGTACCTGCTCATTGTATATTAGGTTAAATGGATTGCTGCTTGGTACAACATTCACTACTCTTGTTGCATAATCACTTCCTAGTGTCTAGTCAAGTGACTTCAGATGTACCAGAACCGAAACAAACACATTGCAATACTTTTGGGTGGTAAACATGCCCTATTGTACACAACATCAGTGGCAGTCCAGTGCTTCTGGTTCTGGCCACAGTTCCTAACGCCTTTACACAAGGCATTTATTCATTCTAATCTATCCTAAAAGTGCCTGAGTGTAGCACTCATTCTCCTCAGGGTGACTCGGCTGCTAGAGCCGGATATTCTGCGACGGGCACCAAACCTGCCGATGCCAACTGAAATCCCTGTTGCTGCCAAGCAACTCCTCTCCTCATCATCCATGCAGAGTTGGTTCATGTAGCACACACTCCCCTTCCCACCCAATCCAAAGCCCTGGCCGCTGTAACTCTCATACTCCTCATCGTCATCCCCAAACAGCTGGTTTGAAATTTCAACGACTTCCCAGCATCCTTCGCCTCCATGGTCCATCCCATCCCACTGCTGCGCAAGCCTTGTCCGATCCCCTTATTCACACTCCCCTTCCCATCAAACATGAAGTCGCTGTAACTCTCCTCCTCATCGGCCCCGAACAGCTGATTTGAAAACACACCTTTCCCCACCGGCTGCCCAACATGCGTCGCCTCCATGTTCCATCCCTTCCCACTGCTGCAAAAACCTCGCCCGATCCCCATCTTCACACCCAAGAAGTTAGTGCCGCTGCTGACTGCAGAGGAGGAAAAGTCACCGTGCGCAGAGGAGGAGGAGGAGGGGGTGGAGATGGAGCTATCCGAGGAGAGGTCAATAAGACACACACTGTGGCTGCTGCAGCTGCTCTCACTGCGGAACATGCTGCAGCAGCCGCTGCTCTCCTCTGCTCCCACCTTCACACTTTCTGCGACCAGGAATGAAGGAGCTACCTCCTCTGACTCCACACCCAAGAGGAACGCTTCCTCCTCCGAGCCATCAATACATCCGTTAAAGGCAGCTGGAGCCTCAAGCTTCACAGCAGAGGCCTCGACATTGATGTCATCAGCAGGAGCCTCGACATTGACGTCAGACGCCCCAACAATGACAGCATCAGCCTCCAGCTTGGCAGCAGGAGCCTCGACCATGAGCGGAGCAGCCTTGGTTGCTACTTGATCATCGCTTGACCTGGTCCACTGGAAGTCGATCTGCCAAGTTGCAAGAGAAAGCCGCGTTAGCATCTGCTATAAGTGACTCTGACTTGGTAAAGTAAGAAGTTAACTTGCAAGATATGAACAAAGGGGAAACGGGAAGGTGAGAGTTTGTTCTTACCAGGGACGGAAGAGAGACCAAGCTGCAAACATAGCGTGCAAGGGAGGCATCCTGCTCCCAGCAGCTCGAGAACAGAACATCAATGTCCACGCAGGGACTCGCAGCAACGATGCCGGCCATGCTGTTGATTGTCGTTGTAGGGACGACGGACTGGCTAAGTAGCTTAGAGCTAAGAGACTGATATCGAGCTCTCAGAAGGTTCAAACTGCAGGTACTGAGGCCTTGTTAAAATCAGGGGACTGTAGGAACTGAAAGGCAGATTGATGATTCACAGAACTGATCAATGAATGGGAAAGAATCTCCCTAAGCTCTTCATACTTTCTTCGATTGCTGAACTGAGGGGTATGACTGGAGGCGAGAATGGGGTGTGAGGCTGAAGCAGGGACGGAATGCGGCGAGAGGCACGGAGGGGGTGGGAGGGAGTCAGTGGTGCGAGGCAGCTTCGCGAATTCGTCGCCTGTGGTTTGGGTTGCTTGAGGGTGGCATGTTCGCAAGGGCTCGGTTGGTCTTCGGTGCCCATGGCGAGGCCTAAAGTGTCGAGGCGCAGTCCGTTTGAGCAGGGACGACTCAGAACGCTACAGATGTGCTTTTTGTAACAGCGTGGAGAGATCCTACTGGAGCACGCAATGCGTAAGGGTCCGTTGCAATCGGGAGTACGAGTGCGGCCCGGGCGATTGTGAAAGGCGGGAAACTGGCTAGGTTCGGAAGCTGTCGAGATTCGCGCGGGGATTGTGGTATGGTTTGACAAACCTAGTGAATGTCGGGGCACTGAATCACTCACAATGCTCAGGGGTCCGCCGCTACCGGAAACATGAAATGCGGCACGGGAGTGAGAAAAGTGGGAACAAAGGTAGGTTCGGACGTTGGTGAGAGGCTTGAAAAATGTGGTATGGTATCCCTTAGTTACAAAGCTCGGCTGTGACCTAGAGAACACCAGGAAAGCAAGGGCTCGTGGAAGGGGTTGCATTTCGTATACATTTGAAAAAGGGAGGTTCAAAAGTTTTGAAATTTGAAATATTGGTAACCCAGAAACAGCTAGTTTCACTCGCTTCACAAGGGAGGTGATCTCCCCGTCACCCAGGGCTCACTGGTGATTCAAAACTTTTGGAATAACAAAAGTATACGAAATCCAGTCCATGTGAGATCTACGCCACTACGCTCAACAGGCAGCATAAATCGTAGCAAAGCACATCGCGACAACAGCCAGCGCAAATCACTCCCGTTTCCGACACAAACTTAGACGCGTGGGGCAGTTTAGTGTAATTACACGTCCGAGCCAACGTCAGTTCCGCCCTCTAACACGGCGAGCCCGCCGGACCCCTTCTCACAGCCTCGCCTCGTCGTCCGTCGCGTTGCCTCACCACGCGGCCTCCTCACGCCACCATGAACGCGCACGCTGCGTCTCAAACTGCCGAACACGCACGATCACAGTCGCTTCCCGATCGCGCGACCTCGCTACCACGTTTCCGCAGTAGCGGCGGCAGCCGCAATTGAGGTGTCGCGAGGGTAATCAGAAACGATTGCTCCCCATTACCTCTTCCCGCCTCCCCGTTTCCCCTTCCCGCCTCCCCAATTCCCCTTCCCGACACCCCATTTCCTCTTCCCGCTCCCCATTACCCCTTCGCGCCTCCTCGTTTCCCCTTCCCGCTCCCCATTACCCCTTCCTGCCTCTGCAATTCCCCTTCCCGCCACCCCATTTCCTCTTCTCGCTCCCCATTATCCCTTCCCGCCTCCTCGTTTCCCCTTCCCGCTCCCCATTACCCTTTCCCGCCTCCCCAATTCCCCTTCCCGCTCCCCATTACCCCTTCCCGCCTCCCCAATTCCCCTTCCCGCTCCCCATTACCCCTTCTCGCCTCCCCAATTCCCCTTCCCGCTCCCCATTACCCCTTCCCTCCTCCCCGTGACCCCTTCCCGCTTCCCCATTACCCCTTCCCACTCCCCATTTCCCCTTCCCGCCTCCCCAATTCCCCTTCCCGCCTCCCCGCTTCCCCTTCCCACTCCCGATTATCCCTTCTCGCCTCCCTTCTCAAACTGCCGAACACACATCACAGTCGCCGCCCGATCGCACAGCCTCGCTACCACGTTTCCGCACTAGCCGCGGCAGCCGCACTCTCATTTCCCCCCTTGCAGACTCTCATTTTCCCCCTTGCTCACTCTCATTTCCCCCCCATGCTCTCCCTCATTCCTCCCCCCTTCTCCCTCTCATTCCCCCCATGAAGCCCCTCATCCCCCCCTTTCTCCCTCTCATCTCCCCCCCTGCTCCCTGTCATGTCCCCACCTTCTCTCTCTCATGTCACCCCCTTCTCCCGCTCATTCCCCCCCATTCTCCCTCTCATTTCTTCCCCTTCCCCCTCTTATATCTCCCCCTACTCCCTCTCATTCCCCCCATGAAGCCCCTCATTCCCCCCCTTTCTCCCTCTCATCCTCCCCCCTGCTCACTGTTATGTCCCCCCTTCTCTCGCTCATGTACCCCCCTTCTTCCTCTCATTTCCCCCCCTTATCCCTCTCATTCTCCCCCCTGCTCCTTCTCATTCCCCCCTTAACCACTCAGTTAAATGCCACATAACCTCCCTCTCATTTCCCCGCATTCCCCCCCCCTTCCCCCTCTCGTTTCCCCCCATCTCCCTCTCCTTTCCCCACGTGCTCCTTCTCATTCCCCCCCCCTTCTCCATCTCGTTTCCCCCCCGCTCATTTCCCCCCATCTCCTTTCATTTTCCCCCCTTCTCCCTCTCATATGCTTCTAACCCCTACCGTACCCTTGGATGATCGCATGCCATACTCATCCATCCGCTGCCATACACCGCCACACCCTTCCATCTCCTCCCATACCCTTCCATACGCCAGCCAAGCCCGTCCCTCATTCTGCCATACCTTGCCATACTCTGCCATACCTTTCCTTCCCTAGCGTAAGTGTACCATTCCCTTCCATACCCCAGCCATACCCATCCATCCCCTGTCATACCCTTCCATTCCCTTCCATACCCTTCCATACCTTCCATTCCCTTCCATACCCTTCCATTCCCTTCCATACCCTTCCATTCCCTTCCATACCCTTCCATTCCCTTCCATACCCTTCCATTCCCTTCCATACACTTCCATTCCCTTCCATACCCCGCCATTCCCTTCCATCCCCTGCCATTCCCTGCCATACCCTGTCATTCTCTTCCATACCCTTCCATTCCCTTCCATTCCCTACCCTTCCATACCCTTCCATTCCCTTCCATACCCTTCCATTCCCTTCCATACCCTTCCATTCCCTTCCATACCCTTCCATTCCCTTCCATACCCTTCCATACCCCAGCCATACCCATCCATCCCCTGTCATACCCTTCCATTCCCTTCCATACCCTTCCATTCCCTTCCATACCCTTCCATACCCTTCCATTCCCTTCCATACCTACCATTCCCTTCCATACCCCAGCCATACACTTCCATACCCTTCCATTCCCTTCCATACACTTCCATTCCCTTCCATACACTTCCATTCCCTGCCATTCCCTTCCATTCCCTGCATTCGTGCACAGGCATATGACTAGTCACGTGATTGGTATCGAAGAATCCAGGGTTGGGTGATAAAGGTTATGTATATAGTGATACAATTGTAAGGACTTTTTTTTATAAAACATGTTGTGAGGCTACGAGCTTGATTTTGGTCCTGAAGTGCCAAAAATGTACTAGAGTTGGGAGTGTATGCATGCTTCTTGAATCACAAGTGCATAGTAATAAATACGCAGGGAGCTGCCGCACAAGTTGGCGGCTGCTGTTGTATGCCTGGCGTTGGTGTGCAGCAGAGGGGAGCGATGCATTGTGTGCTGCTTGGTGGACCTGCCGGTGAGAGGAGTGGGGGGGGTCAGGGCTGAGAAAGGGACGAGGAAGGGGAAAAAGAAGGCACATATCAGGGTGAGCTCAACCAAAGCCTGGAGAGAGTGCCCTTAGTCATCCAAGTGGCGTGAAAACGGTTGTCTAGGCAAGTCCCAAGGCATGCGATGGGACGCGCACAGTACCTGAGAGGCGTGAACGATGGGACAAAACTTGAGATGAGTCGAGCTCGCTTGCACGCACCATCTGCCGCAACAGCCTCACTACCTCCTCCTTCTCCCTCTCCCTCCGCCTCGCTTCCTCATCGAGCCTCACACCCTGCTCGCTCCCCAGTCCACTGCTGACATGGCTGCTTCGATAGTGTGCACCCAGCGTGAGAGACCCGGCATGCTGCATCTCCTGCGGCTTGCGCACTCATGAGCGCGCTCGGCTGTGAGACCGCAGCAGGGTCCACTCGCTCTTGGTTCTGCTGTTGCTGCCCATGCACCTGCCGCTGTTCTTGCAAGATCATCCCAGCTCCAACTCCTCGTGGGAGCTGCTGCTACATTTGCTCCACAAATGCTAGGTCCAGTAGGAGCTAAATCCGCAGGAGCAGAAGTATGGTCAGAACCGGGGCAGTTGCAGAGTCACACGGGTTGGGGCCAACAGCCGGCGTCGGCAGTCCATAGTCAAAGGAGTGGGGCGAACAATCCTCCCCACTGGCTGCTCCTCGCCTCATGTCTCCTCCTCCTCCACCATGCCTTCCCCTCCTTTCCTGAGCTACCTCCTGCTCCGGGGGGAACACCAAAGGAAGGAACACTGGGTGTGGCAGCAGAGGCAGCTCCGGCAAAGGCAGCAGCGGCGGCAGTATGGGCAGGGACTGAAGGAGCGAGTGGGATCTCATGGGAGGTGAGATGACCCTGGAAGGAGGGGGGATGAGAAATTAAGGCATGGCGATGGGAGAGCGTGGAAGGGAGAATGGAAGGGAGCGAGTGGGGGGCAGTATTTTGCAAGGGATCCACCCTGTAAGGGAGGGAAGATGAAAAGGACGGGAGGGCAGTGGGGCTATGCCAGAGCTGGGAGGGAAATGAAGGGGAGCAAGGTGGGAAAAATAAGGGGAGAAGGGGGGGAAATGACGGGGAGCAAGGTGGGGAAAATAAGGGTTTAGGTTGGGAAATGAAGGGGTGAAGGAGGGAAATGAGAGGGAAGCGGGGAAGCGAGAGTGAGCAAGGGTGGAAGTGAGAGGCGGCAAGGGGGGAAATGAGAGGGAGGAGGGGGAGAGATGAGAGGAGCAAGGGGGGAAATGAGAGGGAGGAGGGGGAGAGATGAGAGGCGGCAAGGGGGGAAATGAGAGGGAGGAGGGGGAGAGATGAGAGGAGCAAGGGGGGAAATGAGAGGGAGAGGGGGAGAGATGAGAGGAGCAAGGGGGGAAATGAGAGGGAGGAGGGGGAGAGATGAGAGGAGCAAGGGGGGAAATGAGAGGGAGGAGGGGGAGAGATGAGAGGAGCAAGGGGGGAAATGAGAGGGAGGAGGGGGAGAGATGAGAGGAGCAAGGGGGGAAATGAGAGGGAGGAGGGGGGGAGATGAGAGGAGTAAGGGGGGAAATGAGAGGGAGGAGGAGGGGAAATGAAGGGGAGCAGTGGGGGAAGTGAGAAGGAGCAGGAGGGGAAATGAGGGGGAGCAGTGGGGGAAGTGAGAAGGAGCAGGAGGGGAAATGAAGGGGAGCAGTGGGGGAAGTGAGAAGGAGCAGGAGGGGAAATGAAGGGGAGCAGTGGGGGAAGTGAGAAGGAGCAGGAGGGGAAATGAAGGGGAGCAGTGGGGGAAGTGAGAAGGAGCAGGAGGGGAAATGAAGGGGAGCAGTGGGGGAAGTGAGAAGGAGCAGGAGGGGAAATGAGGGGGAGCAGTGGGGGAAGTGAGAAGGAGCAGGAGGGGAAATGAGGGGGAGCAGTGGGGGAAGTGAGAGGGAGAAGGGGGGGAAATGAGGGCGAGAAGGGGGGGGGGGTGAGGGAGAAAAGGGGGGGAATGAGGGGGAAGAATGGGGGGAATGAGGAGGAGAAGGCTGGGAAATGAGGGGAAGAATGGGGGGAATGAGGGGGAGAAGGGTTAGAACTGAGAGGGAGAAGGGGGGAAAATGAGGGAGAGAAGGGGGGAAGGGGGGAAAAATAGGGGGAGAAGGGGGGGAAATGAGGGGGAGAAGGGAGGCAAGTGGAGAGGGAGTAGGGGGGGTTGTGAGGGGGAGAAGGGGGGAGGGGGGGTAATTAGAAGAGGATGCGCTTAGCGGGAGAGGCGCTATGCGGGCGCTAAGCGGGAAAGGCGCGCAGCGGGTGCGGCGCTAAGCGGGAGAGGGTGAGGCGACACGCGGGAAAGGCGCACAGGGGGTGAGGCGCGAAATGAGAGAGGCGCGCAGCGAGTGATTCGTTGCGCGGGAGAGGCGCGCAGCGGTTGCGGAGCTAAGCGGGAGAGGCGCGCAGCGGGTCAGGCGCTAAGCGGGAAAGGCGCGCGGCGAGTGATACGCTAAGCGGCATGGCGCGCAGAGGGTGAGGCGCTAAGCGGGAGAGCTCCCAGCATTGGAGGCGGTAAGCGGGAGACCCGCGCAGTGGGTGAGGCGCTAAGCGGGAAATGCCTACCGAGCGGGTGTTGAGAGTGGCGGCGTGGCCAACGCATGGAACGATGCGATCCCGCCGTCGGCTCCGTAATTTTCAATCGGCTTACTCGATCGCACCTACCCAGCGTGGTGATGCAACCCGTCGAGGCGCCCTTGACAGGGCTTCGACGGGGCCCATCAATGCAGCACGACGCGCTCGACGAATGCAGAGCCTTTCCCTCTCCGATTGCCGCTGAACGGCGCAGCAGTGGAAAGGAGCTGGCGTGCAAGCTAGATGTATTTTCCCACTCGCACAAGCCTATAATGTTACCTAAACTCATCTCACATGAGAATATCTGAGCGGTGTCGATGCTCCGCATGTTCTTTGTCGCGCCCCGGTTCCTCTATCTATGCTTAGTGTATGTTAGTCACATATCATGGTTCCAAGGTTGGGTGACGGGGGAGTTTCCTGTGTTTGGAACTCCTCAAAGCTGCAATTTTTCGCCAAACCTCTCGCCACGCTCAGTTGTTTCGTTCTGGCGAATTTTTCCCTGGCTACAGTGCAAGTCCAAACAGTACTTGCAAATGTATACGAAAGCTTTAAAGGGCAACACCCGAATTACTCAACGGAAGTCAACGCGGGAAAATAGGTTTGGGAAAGCAGAGTGTTGAGGTTCGAAAACCTCTCCTAAACCTCTTCCCCGAAACCAGAAGGGGCGAGACACAAACTGGGCCCAGTTTGTGAAGGCGTTTCGGTAATTCGGGGGCTGGGCTTTAAGAGGAAGGTCACGTGAAACTTGACAAAAACAAGTTCAGAGAGATCACAGTACCTTGAAGCCCGAGTACAGCATGGTTATTTTCAAGTTCAAGAACTACATATACGTTTTGACATCTCTACATAATACAGAGCATCCAGCGAAAAATGCATAGTGGTAACAAGCGCAGAACTGCCAGCCAATGGCATTGCCCGTGGCCTTGATTTTGAACATGGCCATCATCTGTAACAGTTATTGCGACAGGGACTTTAACAGCAAGTGTGACAGGGGAAGAGCCCCATTCACCTCCTGGGCTGGCCTGTGGCAGCACTCCATGCTGTGAGTACATGATCCACTATAGCTGGCACAGTGGCACAGTTACCAACCGTTACTAACCGTGGCTAACCGTGCTAACCATTACCATGTGTGTAACTATGACCGACTGTAACAGTGACATGAACAGCGAGGGTAACAGGGAGCACGCTGCCCGTCACCTCCTGGGCTGGCCTGTGGCGGCACTCCATGCTGTGAGCACATGATCCACAATGGCTGGCACCCCCACCCCATGTTTCACCTGCATGCATAGTGAGGATAACATGTAGGTATGAGCACAACAGGAGCAGCACTCCATGCTGCCGGCACATGGTCCTCTTTTTCTATGCCCGGAATAGTGGCACCACCCCCACCCCATGCTTCACCTGCAACACACTTTTGAAGGCGCCTTAAAAGCGAAGTGCAGAGCGACAAACACAAGATTTAGAGAGGAGAAAACAGACACTCCCGCCACAGGTGAGAGGGGCGGAATCAGATACTCCCCTCCATCCACCTCTCCCTCACCCACTCGACCGTGAAAACATGAAGGTTTTCCCAGCCCCCAAGCACTGACTTTCTTTGAGAGCATTGGCATCACACACACACACCCTTCATCCACCTACCTTTTGCAACCTATCCCCAATTCACCCACCCGTGCGAACACCAGAGGCCCGCCATCTTTGATGCGCAGCGCGCCTCTTTCCATAACTGCAAGGCTCACACAACCCCCTTTCCACACACATATACACCTCCATGCATTCCCCTCCTGTCCCCCACCCACCCGTGCGAACACCAGAGGCCCGCCATCTTTGATGCGAAGCGCGCCCGCTTGCAAGACCACCAGGCTACACGTGCAGCTATCCTCCTTGTAAAGAGGGTCCCTTTACATGTTCCACACGCACGCACACCTCCCTCCATCAATTCCCCTCACCTGTGCAAACACCAGCGGTCCCCCATCCCGCATGCGCAGCGCGTCCGTTTCCATAACCGCCAAGTCAGCACCGATCGCAGGCGCCAGGTCAGTCTTGTTCACCACCTGATGATGCCACGTCAGCATGGCGGAAAGCACGAAGAAGAGAGCACAGAAGTAAGGAGGCAAGAGAAGTGGGGAGAATGGGGGAGAGAGGGGAGAGGAGGGGTGGGGTTCAATGTCATTTCTCTCTCCCATTACAATACCTCCACACCCGCCTTCTCTCAACACACACCACCCCTGCTCACACCTCCATATCCCCACGGAATCAACCAGGCCATCCCCAGAGCCTCATTGCTTGTACACCTCGCAGCAACAGGTCCGCCTGGGTGACCCCACCCCAGGGCCACTCTTCCTCGAGATTTTCCTCCTTCCCATGTGCACTCACACCCATCCTCCCCCGCCCCCCACCTTTGAAGCGCCTCAAACGTCACCCCAGAGCACACTCCGATCCCTCAACACTTTCCCTGCCAGAGCACTTGCACTCATGAGACGTCTCAAAAGCCAGAGCACTTGCACTCATGAGACGTCTCAAAAGCCAGAGCACTTGCACTCATGAGACGTCTCAAAAGCCAGAGCACTTGCACTCACATCCATCCTTTTGAGTCGACTCAAAAGCACTTGCACTCACATCCATCCTCCTCCGTCCAACCAACCCCTTTCCTCTTTCCAACAGGTCTGCCACTGCCAGCATAATATCTCTCCTTTCCGTCCTTACGAGGTCACCATGGCTCCAGTGAACGTTTTAAGGAAGGTACGGCTGGGAAACGGTTTGAAAGAAACACCTTACTTGAGAAAGGTAATTTTCTCACACCCTATTCCTCTCACCAGCAGGTCTGCCTGGGTGATGCCAGGGCCGCCCTTCCTGGGGATCTTATCCCCGCCCGATACGTCAATGATGTAGATGATGTAGTCTGCTAGCTCTCGGCTGAAGTTTGCCGCTAGGTTGTCTGTGAGGGAGGTGAACAGGGGAGAAAGTTGGGGCGGGAAGGGAGGGGTATCTGTCTTACCCCCATGCATGTCACACGTTGATGAGGTAGTCTGATAGCTCCCGGCTCACGTTGGCCGCTAGGTTGTCTGCGGGGGAACTGGACGGGCGACAGAGGATGGAACCAGAAGGGGAGACAGATGAGGAAACAAATGGGGTCTCATCACCAACCCCCCACACATGAATGATGTAGATGATGTGGTCTGCTAGCTCTTGGCTGACGGAGGTGCAGAGGGGGGTGTGAGCAAAGGAGAATATGGGAAGCCTCAATTCACATGCCTCCACGCACTCAGCACTCCCCCCTTCCACTCTCAACACTCCCTTGCCACGCCCTTCCTCTCACCTTCCATCCGTCATTCCACTCACCTCCTCCTGATTCGCACAACAGCATGTGGGATATGAACCGTGCTGACGCTCATACCGTCAGCGCATGGCGGCATGGAGACATGATGAGACCCCTTCATGCCACAGTGCCACCCACTCACCTCCGCTTGACTCGCACAGCAGCATATCCGCCTTGAACTCAGTAGAAAGCTCCTCCAGTGGTGGCGTGAGGACAGCCACTCACATGCAAACATGAGAAAAGACCCTTCATGCCACCCACAGTGCCACCCACGCACCTCCGCCTGACTCGCACAGCAGAATGTCCGCCTTAAACTCAGAGGAAAGCTCCTCCAGTGGCCCCAGGTTGATGCTGATATCCTCCCGGATGGCGGCGTGCGGACAGCCGCCCGTCTCCACCGCCCGGATGCGGCCGGGCGGCGAGAGGGCGGCGTGCTTGATCAGGAACTCGCCGTCCTCCTGCGTGAAGATGTCGTTGGTGACGGCTGCCAGGCTGTACTGGTCTCTGAGTGTGCGACACAGGGCCAACATCAGGGCAGTTTTCCTGCAGGAGAATAATGCGGGTTGCCAACGTGGAGTGGAGTGCATGCAGAGGGAAGCAGGGGAGCAGCAGAGCGCATGAGGGAAACTGGTCGTTGTCTTGTGTGCAAGATGTCGTTGGTGACGGCTGCCTGCCTGCCTGCACTGGTCTCTGAGCGTGCGACAGAGGGCGAGCATGAGGGCAGTCTTCGTGCAAGGGAACAGTTGGGATGCAGGGGAGCAGGAGGGTGGAGATGCCGTGGTGACTGCTGCCTGCCTGCCAGGCTGCACTGGTCTCAGAGCCTGTTTTAGAGTCGACTTAAAAACGCGGCACAGGGCGAGAATGAGAGCAGTCTTTCTGTGGGATGGTTAGGGGCACATCGGTGAGTGGAGGAATGGGGGTGCAGGGGACACACAGTGAGCATGTGTTGTTGATTTCCACTGCCAGGCTGTATTTGTCCCTTAGTGTGTGACAGAGCGCCAGCATGAGAGCAGTCTTTCTGTGAGATGATTGGGGGCGCATGGGCGGGCGGGGAATGGGAGTGCAGGGGGAATGGGAGTGCAGGGGGAATGGGAGTGCAGGGGGAATGGGAGTGCAGGGGGGATGAGTGGGAGTGAAGATGTCGGGTAACCGCTGCCAAGCCTTTCTTGTCCTTTAGCGTGCAGCACAGAGCCAGCACGAGAGCCATTTTGCTGCCAAAGATTGTGAGGGGGGAGTGTGTGAATGTGGGAAACGGGGAAAGTGGGAATGAGGGAAAGGGGGAATGAGGTAAATGAGGGAAACGGGGAAAGTGGGAATGAGGGAAATGGTGGAAACAGGGAAAGTGGGAACGAGGGAACGAGGGAATGAGGGGAATGAGGAAAGCGGGAAAGAGGGAATGAGGGAAAGAGGGGAAAGGGGAACGAGGGAAAGAGGGAATACCAGAAATAGAAAAATTGGGGGAAAACGTCGTAGAGGGAAAGAGATGGATGGGCGTCAGAGAGGATGGGGGAATGGGGGAATGGGTGAGGGCATAGAGGGGAGGGGAGGGACAGTTGGTCTCTGATGGTGCGATATAGCGCCAGCAGAGAGCAATGGGCTGTGAAGGGGATGAATGGGGTAATAGGGGAATGGGGAAATGGGGGCGGATGGGGAAATAGGGGAATTGGGGAATGGGGGCGGATGGGGAAATGGGGGAATGGGGGCGGATGGGGGAAGGAGGGCGGATGGGGGAAGGAGGGCGGATGGGGGAAGGAGGGCGGATGGGGGAAGTAGGCAAGACGGATGGGGGAAGGAGGGGGTGAGGTGACACCCGGCACGCCTCCTTCCCCCATCACCCTTCAGATTCCCCGCTCCCTCCTTCCTCTTCCGCCCTCCGCCTTCCTTCTCTCTCCCTCTCTCCTCTCCTCCTCCCTTGTCCCCCCTTCCCCTTCCCTCCCCCGCCTCTCCTCCGCCCGTTTCCCTACCTTCCCGTTCCCCCCCCCCCCGCATACCCTGATCCGACGGGCCCGCCGATTCCAACGGTAAACGCGCGCTCCGCCAGGTCGCGGTTCGGCAGGGGCGGCGCGCGCAGCGCGAAGCTCCCCGCGCTGTCGAGCGGCTCGTGCGAGTGCGGCGCGAGCCCGTCGTGCGAGTGGTACACGCGCCCGTCCGCGCCGCGGAACTCGTCGGCCGGTGCTGACGCGTCACCGCTGGATTGGACAAGTGGTTCCCCAAAAAAATGAGCACACATGAAGATGAGGAAAGGGGGAGAGGCGGAAAATTCTATTATGATAAAATAGGGATGGAATAGAAAAAGGAATGCACGCATCAACGATTGGCGGCCATAAAGGCACGCTCGATTACGGTAGAACGAGAATGGATTCAAGGGATCACTGACGTTCCAGGATGGTCGTGGTGGTGGTGGTGGTGGTGGTGGGGATGGTGATGGTCGTCGTCGTGCGAATGCGAATGCGCGTGCGCGTGCGAATCCGCGGCATGACCGTGGCTACGCGCGGTTCCGCCTTCCGCCTGCTGCCGCCCTTCCGCTCCTTCGTCCCCAGCCATTCGTTTTCTAAGATTTGATTCGTAGCAGACTGCTGCTTCTAAGAACTAATTCGTAGAAAACTGCTGCTGCTCTTAAGTTGCAAGACCCACAATGGCCAAAAGCAAGAATCTCGTAAAACTGCTGCTCCGAGTAACTCGTGTATCAGAACAGAAACGAGGGGGAAAGGAACAAAAAAAGCAGCCAGCCCGCGTCGCGCGTCGAAAGCCAGTACCTGGAGCAACCCCCTTGGTATTTCCGCAGCAACAGGAATCGAGCAGCTTAGGCAAGCCGTGGCAAGCAACCCGCTCGACGAAACGGCTTCGAGTAGAAAGGAGAGGCGACAGCAGCGAGCAGTAATTGAAAAGCCTTGTTGATCAAGAGCGAAATAGCTCTGCAAGATCGGTGCTCTAGAAAATCTGGGTGTGGAAAGCGCTCACAGAGCACGATGATTGGACTTGCGATATGGACGAGGCTTATATTGCGGATAGAATGGGTTATGAAAATAAGCGATGTACCGTATTCTCCCGGATATAGGACCCTCCCGAAAAAAAGACCCCCGGGACTTTTGAACGGTACTGGGACTCTTAAAGCCCAGCCCCCGAATTACCGAAACGCCTTCACAAACTGGGCCCAGTTTGTGTCTCGCCCCTTCTGGTTTCGGGGAAGAGAGGTTTAGGAGAGGTTTTCGAACCTCAACACTCTGCTTTCCCAAACCTATTTTCCCGCGTTGACTTCCGTTGAGTAATTCGGGTGTTGCCCTTTAATATGTAGCACATGTGAGAGGACCCCCCTTTTGCTACAAAACATTTTAAGACCCCCCTTTTCTGAATACAGCAGTTTAAAATAATCATGCGCGTCAGCTTTTAGAGGCACAGAATCCGAAATTTGACGCGTCAGAATCGGGTTCTGACACACGAATCGTGTCGGACACGAGATCTGACGTTTCTGACGCGCCGCTCGCGCGAATTTCACGCACGCTAGATTTTATCGGTTCGAACATAAGACCCCCCCCCCCCCCTTCAAATTCGGGTGTACACCCCCAAATCGCATAAGTGTACTTGATTAATAAGTGTACCCGGGACTCTTACAACTCGTGCCGATTAAATGTTCACCCTAATCATTTTGCCTCTATTTTAGGAAAGTCCCCCGGGTCTTATATCCGGGAGAATACGGTAATCAATGGCGGCTCGGCTTTGATAATCGCGAGTGTACTGGTCAACTCGCTATTGCATCTACTACCACTCGTCTTCATTTTGTGGAGGGGATGATTGGGCCTAATAAAAAAAAGGCTCAGGAGCTTCGTTTCACACTTGAAAATGAGCACCCTGCGGGTACGTCCAGGAAAATACAGTCCCAAAGTGCTGAATTCATCCCTTGGCTTCATGTATGTCATGTCAGTAACCACCACCACCTTATTAATTAGCCGTGGCACTCATCTCAGGGCTGGCGTTTCATTTTAAGCCTCCTTGATTCCAGGGAAAATTTTTCCCCTCTATTATGGGTGCACATTTTCCAGAAAAGCAGTACCCTGATTGCTCAGGGTTGTAAAGCACTGATTGTTCAAGGTCGAGAACTGAACATCATAGTAGTAACGCTCGCTTTGTTACCTGGGGAAAAATCCCCACTCTCCATAAAATCTGCGCGCTGTGTTTCCTGCTGGCTGTACACTCGACTGAATTGTGCAGGGCGGGTGTGATTGACCTATCTGGTGTGCGAGTGTGACGTTTCCCTGTCTTATTACCATGCCCAATCGGATCTCTTCACCTGGCATGCATCAGACACGCTGCGAATGTAGTTAGTCACCCTCAGAGGCGTTCCTTTTGGAGCGAGTGTACTGACCGAACAGGCGAGTCACACCTGTTAGAGTCAAAGATTTCCGCTGTCAGAGCCTATTTCGACCAATCCCTGCAAAGTATATCTGACATTGCAGATTCGCGCGATCTCGATGGTAGGTGTATCAGAACGAAGTTTCGAAGAAACTTCGTCTCGATAAAGCGGGAAGGGGGGGGGTTACGCACATGTGAGGATCACTGCGATCAATCCAAGGCGGGGTCATCGGAAGAAAACTTCCAAGAAACTTCCTTTCGATAAGTCAGGGTCCACACAGTCGATACTCTGTTAAGTCAGGGTCCACTAACAGCCTAGTCTGTTACACTGTACTCAAAATCAGGGATAGCTAAACTATTACTCTGATTGGATCAGGGCTGAAAATTCAATAACTCTGAAATTTCAGTCTCCACGAAGTGGAAAGCCTGAAATCACCTTGAAATCAGGGTAATTACCCTGATAAAATCAACCCTGACTCATCTGCTAATAAAAACACATACCATAAAAACCCTACATCAACACCAGGGCCTCAGATTCGTTTTGGCCTAGGCTGAATCGTCAGCCTTAGGAGTGAGCTGAAGGCTGATCAATCTGGGTAGCCTTGAAAAAAAAGCTGAAATTTCAGTGTTTAGTTTAGTTAAATGGCTGATCATTCAGCCTTGCTTAAAAAGAAAGGCTGAATATAACTTCAAGCTTTCCTATAGCGCAACACAGTCATTCAATTTCAAAGTGTGGCATTGAGAAAAGGGCATGCGACGTGCTTCCAACAGTGCACACGAAGTGCCTACTATCAGAATGTTATATTATCTAGCCTGCAGTGGTGTGCTCTATAGCGAGTACAACCCAGTTAGGGTTTGCTATATGTATCCAACTGCTTGCTAGTGAACTCCCTCCTTTCTTCAATTCTGTTTCTGCCTGCTAACTTTGACATGGTTTCAGAGCAGGTCGACCCCCTTGGGTCGATCCTGTGGGTGGGCCCGCCACCTAACTGCTTCCGCTGCTGTTCTGCTTCTCGCGCGCCTCGGGCGTGCGCCGTCTTCTTCTTGCCGTGCGCACTATAAAAAATTTTAAGGTTTTTCATCCCGCCGTGCGCTCGGGGCGCGCGGCGAGTTTCTGCCCGCCGTGTGCCCAGAGGCGCGCGGCGGTTTCCTACCGTGGGGGACCCGCGCGCACCCCCGCCCTGTCCGTCGCGTCGCCCTGGGGGACCCGCGCGCTGCCCCCGCTGCCCCGTCGGTGGTCGCGTCGCCCCCGGGGACCCGCGAGCCGCCCCTGGAGCCGTGCGCGACCCCCCCCGCTGCCCCGTCGCGGTGCCCTGGGGGGCCGCGCGCGGCCCCTCGCTGCCCCATGGTGGCGCCCTGGGGGCCGCGCGCCTTCCCCCGCACTCCTACCCCGTGCCACCCGTTTTAGGGTTTGGGGGTGGGGAGTGTGGGAGTGGCGGTTGTGGGGGTGCCGGTTGTGTGCCCCGTCCCCTACTCCTCCTCCTCCTCCGTCTCCCGCTGCTGCAGCTGCCGCTCAGGGGGGTGGGTGTGTGGGAGCCGAAGGAGTGGTGCTAGGGGGTGACGTGGGAGTGGAGTTAGGGGTTCAGCAGGGGGTGTGTGTCAAGGGTGTGGGTCAGTTGGAGGAGGTTGTGTGGAGGTAGCTGTCGTGTCGCCTGCAGCGCCTGTAGTCCGTCGCCCTTGCTTCGGTAGCCAGTGAGCCTGTTGCACCAGTCGCCAGTGGGTCCGTTGCTCCTGCCGCTCGTCTTAGCCGCGGAGCCAGTCACTCCAGTAGTCCGTCGCCCTTGCTTCGGTAGCCACTGAGTCAGCCGCTCCTGTGCCCGTGCCTCTGCAGCTTCAGTCGTTGCCTCCCATCTTCTCTCCTTCCACAGTTCCTCCTCCTCCTCACTTGCCCGCTGTGATTACCTCTAGCTTTGCTTATTATTGTGAACTCCTGCTATGCCTGCTCATTGTGCTGATTACACCCCACTTTGGCTATGGGGGTGTGTCAGAATGTTATATTATCTAGCCTGCAGTGGTGTGCTCTATAGCGAGTACAACCCAGTTAGGGTTTGCTATATGTATCCAACTGCTTGCTAGTGAACTCCCTCCTTTCTTCAATTCTGTTTCTGCCAGCTAACTTTGACACCTACAACTTCATACACGAAGATACCTTCTGTCGGCGACAACAGTGCGCACAGCATGGTGAATCCGAGCGAATCTCCTGTGATTGGGCGAATTTCTGGTAAAACATGCTTTGTCAGAGCGAATTTCTTGTGATTGGGCGAATTTGTTGTGCTCAGACGGGGCGATTATCTTCTCTGTTGGGGCAAATTTGCTGTCTCTGGGCGAATTTTCTGAGTCAGGGCGAATCTGCAGTGACGAGTCAAGTAGAAACACTTGCATCCAGAAACCAGAAACTAGATTGTACATTCGTGCCATTTGATTGGTCAGGCAAGTTTTGGTAAAATATCCGATAAGTCAGAGGGTTTCGGCACTACACGAATCTCCACTAGTGGGATTTCAGCCTACATCCCCGTTACAACGCGGATCTGCTAGTTTACACCTCTAAAAAAACTTTGAAATATCAGCCCATACTAAGAAAAAAAGTCTGAAAAATCAGCCCATACAATACAAAAAAAGCTGACAAATCAGCCCCACTAAATCCCTAGCACTGAAAACCTTACCTTTTTACCCCTAATCAGCCTTTTTTCGCTGACTTCTGAGGCCCTGATCAACACACATATAACAACTATGTTTGAAAAGAGCAGGCGAAACAAGAAATTACTCATACCACCAATGTTCTGAGCTTTTGATCATAGGGCTCAACAGCTGGTTGCGATAACCACTGCCACATGCCCATGGGCGACATCCCTGGCATGGCATATGGCATGGCAGGCACATGCAGGTACTGCGGACCGGGTGTAGCAGCAGCAGCACCAGCTGAACCAGCTGAGCCACCACCAGCAGCCACAGCAGCAGCAGCACCAGAAGCAGCAGCTGAGAGGATGAAGCATCCCCCCAGGCATGAACGGAATAGGCATCAAGCCCATGGGTGCTCCCATTGGGCCCAGCTTGCCAGGCTCACACACAGGATGCAGCATCACGGGCACAGCACCAGGCAAACCCGGAGAGCCCGGAGCACAAGGCGCAAACCCAAGAGGAGGAGAAATAGCAGCTGTCTGCCGGGCGGTAGAAGAAACCACTGATACTGCTGCTGACGTGGCGGTGGTGGATTGGGCGGCACCAGATGCTGTCAAGCGGCGGACCTCGTCTTCCAGCTGCTGCTTGTTGGCCAGCAGGCGCGCCCTCTCCTCCCTCAGCTCACTCTTCTCCGCCTTGAGCTCTTGGATCTGCTCGCTCATATGCTCCGCGGAGCCCCTCAGCTGGCTCGTCTCCGCCCTCAGCTGCGCCAGCACGCGCACCGCGTCCACCAGAATGCTCCCTCTGTCCGCGCGCCAGCTCGCTCCTCTCCAGCGCCCGCGCCAACTCCTCGAACCTGCAGTATGGGGCGGAGGGGGAGATACCAGAGAACGGGATGAGGGGAGTGAGAGGGAAGGACAGAACTTAGGGGAAAGTTGATAATGTGCCCAAAAAATAGGCGCTGCGAAAGAATGCGGCCGCATTCCTCGAGAAAAACGAGGAATCTTCGAGACCACACAGCAGGACAAAAGCGAGTGATGATGGAGTATGGAGAGCACCGAGCAGGCAGCAACAGCTGTCAAACATTTATCATATAGCCTATTTAGGCTGTAGTGGGGTAGACACTAAGGGGTACAGTTTCCTAGGGTTTCATACTTGTACCCAACTCATTTCCTAGTCAATCATTCCTCATTTCTCACATGGTATAGAGCGGTTTCCCTAGTGGGACCGTTTTTTTTTTCCTAGGGCCCACCACTTCGATTTTTTTCCTGCCCTATCCGAAGCGCGTTTTGCGCTCTGCCCTCCTGCCGCTGCTGCGGCCCTGCCCTGCTCCTGCTGCCCGTCGCGGCCCTTCGCGGCCCCTTCGTGGCCCCCCTTCGCGGCCCCTTTGCGGCCCCGTCACGGCCCCTTCGCGGCCCCTCCCTTTGTGGCCTCGCCCCGGCCCCGTCGCGGCCACTTCGCAGCCTCGCCCCGGCCCCGTCGCGGCCACTTCGCGGCCTCGCCCCGGCCCCGTCGCGGCCCCTTCGCGGCCTCGCCCCGGCCCCGTCGCGGCCCCTTCGCGGCCCCGCCCCGGCCCCGTCGCGGCCCCTTCGCGGCCCCTTCGCGGCCCCGCCCCGGCCCCGTCGCGGCCCCTTCGCGGCCCCGCCCCGGCCCCGTCGCGGCCCCTTCGCGGCCCCTTCGCGGCCCCGCCTCGGCCCCGTCGCGGCCCCTTCGCGGCCCCGCCCCGGCCCCGTCGCGACCCCTCCGCGCCCCCCCCCCCCCTTTCCGGCCCTCCCGCGGCCTCCAACTGCAGCAACCGCCGAGGATCCCTGCCTGCCGCCACCGAGGAGCCCTGCCTGACGCCGCCGCTGCCGTCACCGCCGCCCCGGCCCTGAACAACAGCCGAGCCGCGGCCCTGCCCTGCCGCCCAGCTGCGGCCCCTACCCTGCCGGCGCACCACGGCCCTGCCCCACCAGTAGCGGCCGCCTACCCAACCGCCCCTGGTAAGAGCACTGCCGAGCCGCCCCGCCCTACCGAGCCGCGCTGCTTAGCCGAGTCGCACTACTGCTGCTGCTGCTAGCCTACTGCTGCTGCTGCCATGGCTAGTCCCAATGTTCTTAGCTTCGATGCTGAGGGTCGAGCGGTCGACTTTGAGGTCTGGGTAGATGATCTGCAGCTTTTCTTACAGTGCGATAGCAAGGATGGTCTCTCACTGTTCGATCTCACGTCTGGCGCCTCTACTGCCCCTGCTGCTACTGCTGACAGTACTGTTCGCTCGCAGTGGACCACACGCGATGCTGTTGCCCGCCTTGCTGTGCATAGTCACTTACCGTCCACTGAGCGCGCGCACTTTAGTCAGTACAAGAGTGCTAAGACTCTGTACGACGCTGTAGTTGCACGCTACTCCTCCCCTGCCACTGCTGCCCTTAGTCGACTCATGCTGCCGTACGTGTTCCCTGACCTCGCCGCCTTTGCCACAGTCGCTGACCTCATTACACACCTCCGCACTAGTGACACCCGCTACCGCGCTGTGCTTCCTGCTGAGTTCTGCGCCAAGAACCCCCCCCCCCCCCATGTACATCACCCTCTACTACCTAGTCACTCGGCTCCCTGACTCCCTTCGCTCGGTCAGGGACCACTTCCTCTCTGTTTGCCCCACCACACTCACCGTTGACCTCCTCGAGGAGCGCCTCCTTGCAGCTGAGAAGAGTATAGTCGCTGTAGGAGCCTCTCGTGGTGACCCTCGTGCCCCTTTCTTTGACGGGTGCTCCCCCGTCCCCCTTTTGCCATCTGTTGCCTCTGCTGCTGCTGTAGACCTCGTTGGCGCCGAGTCGGTCGGCACTGCGTCTGCTCCTAGTGGGAGGCTCTGCAGCGGCAGGAGCAAGGGGGGCAAGGGTGCTGGAGGAGACGGCGGGGGCAGCGGTGGTGGCGGTGGAGGCGGCGGAGGGGTGGGGGTGGAGGTGGGGGTGGTGGCGGGAGTGGGGGCTTTGGTGGCGGTGGTGAAGGTGGAGGCGGCGGCGGCGGCAGTGGGGGTGGCGGCGGCGGTGGTGCTGGTCGGGGTGGCGCTGTGCAGTGGGGAGGCTTTGGTGGTGGCCAACGCCATCAGCAGCAGCGTTCTCGTGAGACCCTGTCGCCCCAGCAGCTTCGTGAGTGGTACGCTGGGCGTGGGAGGTCTGGGGGTGCTGGTCCCTGCGCTTACGTTCTCCGCACCGGTGAGCGCAGTAGGGAGACGTGCGGAGGGCCGCACGCCACGCACTGCTGTTTCAGCCGCCTGACTGACGCCTGGCATGCACAGTTTCCTGACGCCACTGAGCTCACTCGTTGGGGTGATCTGCTTAAGTCGGGAGTTGCTGTCAAACATTATATATGTTATTACTGTGTAGGCTACAGTGGGTGAGCCTTTAGGGGGTACAATACTTTAGGGTTTCATACTTGTACTCACACATTTTCCTAGTTCAATCACTTCTTGTTTCTAACATGGTATTAAGAGCTTAGGTTCTAGACCTAGGACCACTTACCTAAGGGCCCACCGCTAGAAGCGCCCTCGAGCGCCGTATCGATTTAGCGCCCTCGAGCGCCTCTCTCCTAGTGCGCCCTCGTGCGCCTCTCCTTCTCCTGCTGCCCGTGCGCAGCTCGCTAGTGCCGCGCGCGGCCTTTTTTTTTTAGCGCGCGTAGCCCGCCAGCAGCCCGCGCGCGGCCTTTTCTGCGCGCGCGCCGACCGTTAGCCGCCCGCGCGACGAGCGCCACCACGAGCAGCCCGCTAGCCGCCCGTCGACCGGCCCTCCTGGCTGTTCAGAACGCCGCAGCCCCGCCCGTAGGCCGTCGCGTAGCCCACGTAAGCCGCCGCCCGCGCGCGACTGCAGCCCACGCACAGCCGCGGACCGCCCGCTACAGCCGCCCACGCGCAGGCCCACCATCGCGCCGTGCCGCGTGGCCTAGTCCGAGCCGTGCCGCGCCGCCCTGCCCGAGCCGCGCCGCCCGAGTCGCGCCGCCCGAATCGCGCCGCCCTGACCGAGCCGCGCCGCCCCACCTGCAGCAACCACTGTTCTACTGCTACTGCTACTACTGCTACTGCTGCTACTGCTACTGCCACTATGGCCAGTCCCACTGTTCTCACTTTTGACACTGAGGGCCGACCGATTAAGTTTGATGTCTGGCTAGATGACCTGCACCTGTTCCTCCAGATCACTGCCAAGGATGACGTTTCCCTATATGACCACACGTCCGGCGCTGCTCCCGCACCTGCTGCTACTGCTGACAGTACTACTCGCTCACTGTGGCAGACTCGTGACGCCCATGCTCGCCTAGCCGTTCGCAGTCACCTGCCGTTAGATGAGCGCGAGCACTTCGGCCAGCACAAGACCGCTAAGGAGCTGTATGATGCTGTAGTTGCACGCTACTCCTCCCCTGCTACTGCTGCGATTGACCGTCTCTCGCTGCCCTATCTCTTCCCGGATCTGTCTGCCTTTGCCACTGTAGCTGACCTCATCACTCACCTCCGTACTAGTGACCCCCGCTACCGTGCCACGCCCCCCCCCGATTTCCTAGCCAAGAACCCTCCCCCGATGTACCTCACCCTCTACCACCTGGTCACTCGCCTCCCTGACTCTCTTCGCGCTGTCAGGGACCACTTTCTCGCTCTCTCCCCCACAGACCTCACTGTCGACCTCCTCGAGAAGGAACTCCTAGCAGCTGAGAAGAGCATTGTAGCTGTAGGTGCCTCTCGTGGCGACCCTCGCACTCCCTTCTTTGAGGGATGCTCCCCCTCCCCCCTTCTCCCCTCCATTGCATCTGCTGCTGCTGTCGACTACCTCGGTGCTGAGGGGGTCGGAGCTGCGTTCGCTCCCAGTGGGAGGCGCAAGGGCGGCAGGGGCAAGGGGGGCCGGGGTGGAGGAGGCGGCGGCAGGGGAGGTGGTGGTGGAGTGGGTGGAGGGGGCGGCGGCGGTGGTGGCAGTGGTGGGAGTGGTGCTGGTGGTGGGGGGGGCAGTGGTGGAGCCGGGGGTGGTGGAGGCGGCGGTGGTGGAGGTGGCGGGGGTGGTGGTGGCAGTGGTGGCGGCGGTGGAGCTGGTGGAGGGCGCGGTGGAGCGGTGCAACGTGGCGGGTTCGGCGGCGGCCAGAGGCAGCAGCAGCATTGTCCCAGCGAGACCCTGTCGCCTCAGCAGCTCCGTGAGTGGTACTCTCAGCGTGGGGGGTCTGGGGGTGGAGGTATCTGCCCGTACGTCATCCGCACAGGTGACCGCACTGGCCAGACTTGTGGGAGGTTTCAGACGGCGCAGCGCTGTTTCTTTCGCCTCGACGACGCCTGGCGCGAGCAGTTTCCCGACGCCTCTGAGCTGCCCCGCTGGGCTGATCTGCTTAAGAAGGGGATTGATATCTTTGCTCTTGATTATGATGCTATCCTTTCTGCCATGTATGCATTGACTACTAGTGTTGAGGGTGACAGTTACCTGCGTGTACCGCCCGACCCGGGTATTGGGACCAGTGAGGCTGCAGCTCTAGGTACTCGTGCGTCTACTGCTCTAGGTCCTGGTGAGGCTGCTGCCCTAGGTGCTAGTGCGTCTGCGTCTGCTGGTACCGCGTCCACTGAGGCACTGCACACCTTCACACTGGACTCAGGTGCTTCCCGCTGTTTCTTTCGCGACCGCACTGCCCTAGATCCACTTCCTAGACCGGTTGCTGTCTCCCTGGCTGACCCCTCAGGGGATCCGGTCCTTGCGACCTCCACCACTGCCCTCCCTTGTCCTGCTGTCCCGTCTGGCACGCTGTCGGGCCTTTACCTCCCCTCGTTCTCTACGAACTTGGTGGCGGGTTCTGCGCTCCAGGACGCGGGTGTTCACCAGTTCACCCCTGCCTATGAGCGTGTGACGCACTGCACGTGTGCCCAGACGGGTCGTCACCTGGCTACCTTCACTCGACAGCCGGGGTCGGACTTGTACACACTGACCACTGAGTCCCCTCACGTAGCTGCGTCTGCGTCAGGTCCGCTGTCTGCCCCCTGCTCGTG